CGTCTTTCAAATTTCTTGGCATCGTACTTGACCCCAGATTATCGATGCGACAGCACGTGGAGCATGTTCGCTCCAAATGCCTAAAAAGACTAAATTTATTTAGATGCATTTCCGGGTCAACATACGGTGCCGACCGCCAATCGTTATTACGTCTATACAGATCCTTAGTTCTTCCCATCATTGAATATGGCTCCGTGGTATATGCAGGAGGCAGCCAACACACTCTCAAACCACTATCCACCATACAAAATATGTTTTTGCGAGTTGCCCAAGGAGCTCTGCGTACTTCCCCGATTTCAGCGCTTGAAGTGGACGCGCATGTTATGCCTCTTGCCCTCCGACGAATGGAACACACATTGAGATACATCACAAAAGTGCGACAAAATCCCAGTCACCCAGCATTTAAATCCATACATGTCTTACCTCACATTCACCATAACTACGTAGGACCGGCAGAACGTCGCTCGGGACTTACAATAGCATCTCGAACCACTATCTACTGTACCACTCTTCAGTTTACTTTACCGCCTTCTTCCATGCCACCTGTTTTAATAGTACCACCATGGCAGTTAACCCCTCGGAAAGTTATGCTTCTTTTTGATGATCCCAAACGCATTTTCACAACAAGTTATGTTCAACAAACATTTAATCGTCTAATTTTCAACAATCAAAATAGCAGCTTTATTTACACCGATGGCTCCAAGGCCAATAACCACACCGGATGTGCAGTTATTTGCACTGAACATTGCCATAAAAACTGTCGGTTACCGGATGGCACCTCAGTATATTTGGCTGAATTATTTGCTCTTTTCCTTGCATTGCAACACATTCAACAACACACCCACAAAACGAAGACAATAGTGATTTGTTCGGATTCAAAGACAGCTGTGCAATCTCTTATTGACCCAGACTTCACACACCACCTCCTTGTTAAAATCGTCAATCTCTATCATATATTACATACACAGGATATGAATATCAAATTTCTATGGATTCCAGGACATACAGGCATCATGGGCAATGAACGGGCTGACCAACTAGCCAAGGAAGCTTTGACAAACCAACACATCATGGAGATCCCTGCTGATCATGCATCTACAAAACATTCCATTCGCACAATGACAAAACAATTTTGGCAACAACAATGGACCGATACTACCAGAACACAACTTCATGATATCAAACCAGACATTACACATTGGCCATCAACGCATCGTAAAGACCGTCTGGAGGAGAAGGTGCTAGCCCGTTTACGAATCGGACACACTACACTCACACATAGTTACATATACTTACGTCAACCTCGTCCTCACTGTCAGCCGTGCGATCATCCACTTTCGGTTAAACATATTGTTATTGAGTGCACAAAATATCAACAGCACCGCAAAGATATGCAGGCTTTCTGTCGTAACCAAAATATCGAGTTTTCTTTAAAAAACGTCCTTGGCGATGACCATCCTGAACTGCTTAACATTGTCTTTAACTTTCTCAGACTTGCCGGTTTGCTTCAAGCTTTGTAAATGTCAATAAACGTACACTTTTCCTCACATACATAATTACACCAATTTAAAATAACATCATCCAGGCGTGAAATGGTCTGAACAGGCCGAAACGCCTCAAACAAATAAATGAAATGAAATGAAAAAAACAGTGGTGCTCAAGCGGATGTGCAGTGCATACCGCGCAGGAGAATCCGTGCACGGGATTAGGCACGGCGGCTAGTTCACCAGGCGCATGTAGGCCTGTCCACCGTTATCCATTCTTCTTCATACTATATCCCTAAAATGATCATGTCTCGTCGAAAGGTCTGAAAAGAACCCAAACAACCAGTCGTGGCAAAGTTTTACATAGCTTTCACCACGTTGGCTGAGAGCAAATTGACGGTCATGATATCTTCAAGTCGTCCTCACGGACGCCATATATGAATGACCAGACAATTACATGTTTCACTTTAGCTTGAACGCTGCATGGCCAGTGGAATGGCAAGATTTGAATGACGTTATCTTGGTGTCATGTAAGCCTGGGTAGCCTTGAAACTGTACGCGCGAAAAAGTCTACGCATCTTTGCGAGCGTATAGCTCAGAGGCTGTGAACTGCACCGAATGGTATTCAAGATGGCTATCCCGGTTCAACGCCGCATACAGATGTAGAAACTCCCTCAAAGTTGTTCTTGGTGCTCTCATAGTCATGTTACTGGTCTCCAAATGAATCATTTCATTGTCGTCTTGTGAAAGCTGGTTTGAATAGGTGCCATCTTCGAGATATGTATTTGGAAAACTTATGAATTAAAATATGTGAGGCTCCACTACAATTTCGTGCAAAATTGTTTGGTCAAGTCTTGCAACAATGAGGCAGCTGAAGCGGAGAAAAATCCTTAAGTTGCATTTAAGCGTAAAATACAACAAAAAGCTGCAATCTACAAACCTTCATCCCTCATTTATGTGCGAGCATGTCTTGCGCCCGCGCATATCTCGCGGGGGGGAGGGAGCTGAACAAACCAACTGAATGGGAAACTACACTCTGAACCAATGCAGACCAGAAACGCGCCTACAGACTTTGTAAAGGAGTTAGTAAAATCAGGAATCAGGGTCTCGTGTTTGTGAGAGGCGTGAGCCAGGACATCGAGAACCAGGCACCTGTCTGGTTGAGCATAATTCGCCACGTGAAGGATTTCCCCAGATCATTTTCGTGTCTGACCAGCCCCTGCCACATTCCAGACGCTGCTGCTCGCGCTGACCGCTGCCGGTCTGGTGCTGGTCTTTGCCGCGGATGATGTTCCTGTTGCCTCTGAGGAGGATTCCGAGGTGACCGCGCCTGCCGCTGAGGATAAGGACGGCGCGGACCAGGACGGTGCTGAGACCTTGCTCCTGCTGAAGCACCTGTTCAGGCCTCGGTATCATTTTCACTACGGGTAAGCATTTGCATCGAGCTGAGTGCGCTTTTTGGGCTATCACTGTCTGTGGAACGTTCTGCTGTATGGACGTTCCGAACTATGCTCCGAGTAGGTGGCTACTTTCAAACACCGGGTTGCCGGTGGCGTGGCTCAGACATGACAAGGCAGATAAACTAAATCCCTTGATATCAACTAAGTGTCTCGAGCTATGTCATAAGGCGCTGCTTATGCAACATACCCACGTATGCGATGTATATGGTATGCGATGCGGGTCTTAGCACCAGTGCCCTCGTTTCGTAGCCCCGTGTAGGATGTCGGTCTGGTATTGGCCTTCGCTTCAAGCAGGCTAGTGGTTAGCTCGTACCAGCGAGAAGTAAGCTCGCACCAGCTGCTAGTTAGCTCGTACCAGCTAGCGCTTACTGTACCTGTTGGTGTCATCTGCGTTCTAACGTCGTACTCCGTTGCTCCACAGGCCTCACTTCAATCCGTACCCGTACGCTCCTTACAGCTACCCTGGCTATTACCATCACACATGGTGACAGTCAGCGAGCAAGGCGATCTGACATCACGTGACGCGTGACGCGATCATCAACTCTCCACCGTTGCGTTGGGAACGATCCGACGTTGTAGTGGTTCTGTTGTCTCTTGCGCATTGTTCAATGCGTATCCTGGGCATTTATGCATGTGGACTTTCAACGATGCGAATACATGTGTTTGGCTGCGATGAACGTGTTTGGATAGGGAAATGGAATACGGCTCACGGTTTCCTGGTTCAAACCACACATCTGCCAGCTGGATCATTCAGATGAGGCATTAGGATTATTTGACTTGCTGTTGTTTATGTCACGAAGACAGGACCTGTGATGACTATAGACGATTTTGGTTTCATTCTGCTGATGCTATGAGCCGAAAGGTGTGTTACCCCGACAGCAGCTGCCCGTGGCGTCGTCAGGGGGCTTTTGGAGTAGTGTCCTCCCCCTCCCTCCCTGGAGGTTACCTCCCTCCCCTCGAGGCCGAAGACCCCAGCACCTTTTAGTAGCTAACGCCCGTAGGGTCTTAAAGCATAAAAGCAGAGCTTCTCGGCGCTAACATAGGACCTCGAGCCCCGAGAATATAAACGTTTCCGAGTTCAAAAACAGGACCACATGTGTGAGGAAGCATGGGACTCCTTGGCCGAAGCAACCGCACATCACCAGCATTGGTTCGCTCATAGGTGAAATTATGACTTCCTCACTCACCACTACAGTCTCGCACACCACAGAAGAGCTGACGAATACTGGAGAATGAGTGGTGAATGCATGCGGGGCAAGCGCATTAAATTAACCAACGCATTCCAACATTATTGCAAGCCGCGAGCCGGCGTTCAGCAATTATAACGGTTCGTGCAGCAGCGCGTGCAGGACAACTCAAAATCTAAAATGAAAAAGCATGACAGCGCGATGTACGCGCACGAAATGTCTTGGGTATTGTACAAGTACATCACAGCTTTGCTTGACGAGTCTGCCTCGGTGTTTGAAATGTTGACATTTGTGCATACGCCTGCAAGTGAACGTCAAAATTGATACGGGCACCGTTCCCGGCGACCCTCCCTCTTGAACATACCACCCGGGACATTAGCATTGCAAGCGGTGCAATCCTGGAAAAAAGACATTTATTGTCCCTGTGCTGAATAATACATATTCCGACCTTTCCAAAGTTAACGCTCAAATTTAGAGCAACACGGATTAACAATAGAGTTGGTGCCACACCACAGATGCGTCGCATGACTGAAGTCACAGGCGCCACAGTTGGGCGTTTCCCGTGTCCTATTTCAAACCCGAAACGCCGTTCCTGGACAGGTGCGCCGGCTCACAGCTCGCTCCGCCCGGCTCACAGCTCGCTCCGGCCGGCTCACAGCTCGCTCCGGCCGGTTCGCAGCTCACTCCGGCCGGCTCACAGCTCGCTCCGGCCGGCTCACAGCTCACTCCGCCCGGCTCACAGCTCGCTCCGGCCGGTTCGCAGCCCATTCCGGCCGGCTCACAGCTCGCTCCGTCCGGCTCACAGCTCACTCCGGCCGGCTCACAGCTCGCTCCGGCCGGCTCACAGCTCACTCCGGCCGGCTCACAGCTCACTCCGCCGGACTCACAGCTCGTCCCCGCGCTTCCTCCTCGCCCGATCCCTCGCGGGCCTGCGTAAGCTCCCAGTCGGTCGTCAGCTGGCGCAGGATGGCGGCGTACTGCTCACTGCCGTGCTCCGCTTGGGCCAGCGCCGGCGCTCGAGCCTGCACGGCTGCGTACCAGGCGCGCACGGCCGCGTAAGGCCGCAGGTCGACGAGCAGCGCGCGGGCCTGCGCCACGCTCGTCGCCAGCCCCAGGTCGGCTAGCGATAGCGCCGCGCCGGTGACGAACGTCGCACGCTGCAGCTGCGTCTCCAGCACGCCCAGCGCCTCGTGGATAGCAGGCAGGGCGGCGGCCGCCGGACGACCGGCGCGGCGCTCCACCACCGGCAGGTGGTAGCCCTTGAGCCGCTGCCAGAGACAGGTCAGGTCGAACAGCAGCCAGCGGTGGCAGGAGGCGCGCGCGCGCGGCTCCGGCGGGTAGAGCGCGAGGCCGCGCGGCCCAGCTCGCTCGGCGAGGTACGTCATGATGGCCCGGCTCTCGGTCAAGATGAAGCCATCCGGCTCCACCAGCACCGGCAACTGGTGCAGCGGGTTCACACCCAGGAAGCTCCCCGTCATTTGCTCGTTTTTCATGACGTCGACCCGCACCAGCTGAAGCTCAGTCTCCATGTTCAGGTAGCTTGCCGTCAGCAGCACCGCCTGGCATGGCGGCGGGACGGGATCCCAGTACAGTTTCATCTTCGTCCCGTTAGATGGGTCTGTATTCGCATGGTCGCGGGACATGCTGCCGAGTGTTGCGGGTGGGCGAATCTGCCTGACGATCTCACAGGAATTTACGATATTTTGGGCTCACCGATCAAAAAAACAGACACATAGACCAATTCTGAACACAGTTTCCCGAAGAACACCGCAAGTCCAGCGCCTCCCAGTCGTCGAACCCACCCGCCCGACTTTCTCACGCCGCCACAGATCCAACGCTGCACTCCCGCCCGTCTGAATGCCCTTGACCTTGAGGTGCCGGCCAGCCGCGGGATGTCTTCTCTAAAAGGTTTGCTGCGATTGTGTAAGGGAAGTCAGGTTTGAGAAAGTAGCAAGGGTCCATGTGATACTATTTTTTTAAATTCATATTCTACCTTTTACAGTTGTTGGAAAGCAGCGGTGTGCAATTCGCCGGGTGTAAATTGTTAAGTTACGTGGACTGTAGGGTAAGCGCCGCGAGAAATGTGCTTAGGCTGGCATGAATTCTTTGAATACAGAAGATTAAACCACACTGGATGCGAATTAAACAACGCACCATGACATGGATCCATCTAGAATCTTAGAGACAGAACCGACATTGATCGTAAAATCGAAGTCCGAACTAGATATCGCCATGCGCCTCACGGCGTTGTGTTATCGATTTACACACACGGGCATTTTTTAATTGTTCATTCTCTCCATGTGCGATTCGCTCAACCTGCCTTAAATATATGAAGCTCCTGTTCTTGAGTTATTAGCACATACACCATAGTCTCTGGGAAAGGATTACAGCGTAAAGGAAAGTATTTATGGCAATCGCTTTTCTTGGTAAGTTGCAGCTTGAGTACAAACACAATGACAGTGCGCTACAGACGATTGATGGCGCCATTAAATACGCAAAACCGCGTTGGTATCCAGGGCCGTGTATACTGCACGTTTTAGGTACAGCCTCTGGGGACATCGGTGAGGTTGCGATTGGGGATTGGTGGCTGTTGCTGTTGCTGAAAGTTGCTGCTGTTGCTGCTGAAATTGCCGCCGGAGGTGCGGAAGCCTTGCCTTTAAAAGTGTGGTTGATTTGAATGATTGCTGAATGGAACTCATCGTGGAATACCAATGAATGAAATTCAATCGGCATTCCCCTGAGGGCCCCACGGTTAGTGTTAGGGCGGTCACTGTCACGCCCACCACACTCAATTTTCCACTCATATTGCTCACCATGCTTGCATCCATACTGGTGTGCTGTCAGATGTAGTGAGAGTGGGAGGTGCAAACAGATATTCTGGTGCAATGTGTTGAATCTGGTGTTAGCCTTTTTCATCCATCTGTGTTCACTCTTGTGTTTGTAGGTTAGCTAAAAGGAAGGTTTCTCTTGGATTTTATTCATTAAAAACAGTTTCATCATCTATGTTTTTCAATAATGATTGCTGTAAAAACTTGATGTTTCCCAATGATGAATGGCCACAGGGTAAGATTGTACTTGGTTCAGAAGTTCTGTTCTGGAACTTTTAAAAGCTGAGGTAAAATTTTGAAGGGAGATAGAAGTTGATGGCAAAATATTTAAGTGTAAATAATTTTCACTAAACATGGAAAATATGTTGGGTAGGAAGGCATCTCCCTACATCTTAATACCACACATTCTTTCAACATTGTCAGGGGTTTAGTCTCCTATTAATTTGGGGGCTCTAACCCCATCCCTTGAGACTTGGGCTCCACCATCTCTTCTACAGCTTTATGAAAGAAGTGTGCCCAAATATATGAGGAAACTCAGTTATTGGGATAGTTTTGTAGATAGGTTGTCATTTTTACTGCTTTTCCACTTATAGAAATATATATGTATATATACAAACATATATATATATATATATATATATATATATATATATATTCTCAAGCCTTCTATCTTTTGGAACATATTGTTTACTCCCCTCCAGATGAATGTAAAAAATTATCTCACCTTCCTGCTTCTGTATGATGCACCCCTGGGATTGTCGGGTTTCATATTCACCTGCCAACAGTGGCACTCACTGGTTGTGGAACTGGACCACTTTCCCATATATGTAACAGTCCATATAATTCCTGCTCCAGCAAACACAGAAGAGACCTACACATATTCTAGGGATTATTCAAAACCAAATGCTTTGCTCCTCACCAGCCTTTTTTTAGACTCATGGAGCACATGTCTTGAGCAACAATGTGATACAGCAACTGACTTGGATGATTTTGGAAGCTAAAACAATATTTCAAAGTGTGCAAGAATTGTTCAAATTTAATGTTGTGTTCAAAATTGCAAAGCAAAAATGGGATTATAACTGGTATAGATGGGGGTATAAACCTAGCATGGTAATAGCATAGATAGATGACAGGAAGTAAATTTTTACAGCATGAAGTACAATAATTAGTCACAAAAATGTACCCCTCCTAACGCCACTTGCAGGCATATCAGTGTTGAAACCAATTGAAACATTCATAATTTAGTCATCTTGCACCCAAAGTTTGTGGATCAACAAAATGACCTGGTTGATGTATCTCAAACATCACACTAAGGCTTCAAATAGAAGGCACCTTCATCTCAGCTACAATATATAGTGCATGTCTGAGCAACATTGATGATTCAGTGGTTGCCCACCATTTACAAAAAAAAACTGCCCACTTGCAGACAATTCGTCGGACTTAAGTGCTGCCAAGATCTCCTCTCCATACCATATAGTACGTTGGTATGGCTTCCCCGGCGAAGCGTGTGGTAAATCCAGCGGAATTGAGTAGCTGAGCGAGATGTGCCGTGGTGGTGATCTCAGTTACGCATTCCTGTCTGCCTTTTGCGGACAAGGTGCTGCGATTTAACCTTTGCCTTCGCGTCTTTCAGGTCTACATCTGCATTTCACTGATGTGATACACATGATACCGATGATGGGGAGATAGTCTGACCATTGTTCATCATCCCCCGTGCGCATCCGGGAGCACCCGTAGCAGAAGTGACATGTTCCCGCCTTCACCTGGCAGTGCCACGCCATGTCTTGGTACCTCGCGCGGCGGGACGCGTGCCGTGAGGACACTGAGTACGCCGCGGCCCGCGCGCTCCTGCAGCTCAGCTGGCAGGAGCGGCAGGCGGGCGACGGTCCGCAGATGACGCTGGACGAGCTCGACCGACTGAAGCTGCGACTGCCGGACACGGTCGAGCAGCCGCTGCGGGCGCGCCTGCAGACCGCGCTGGCTGAGCGCCGCCTGCTGGAGGTCGCACGCGGGCCCGGCGGACCTTCCCAGCTGCTGGCTCTGCTCGAGCAGCGCTGCGTGAGCGGCGCCGAGCGGGTTGCCCTCGTACGCGGCATGAAGGCGATCTTCGAGGATGCGAGTGGGCCGGGACCCTCGGCCGGAGCGTCCGCCCGTGCCGGCCGCGGTTCTGGACGTGCTCCGCCCGCTGTCCAATGGCGTACGCCCTGCAACTGGCTTGCGAGCTGGGGCAGCCTGTGGGCCTCCTCGAGGACGCGCGGCCCGGCTCGGACGCCGTCGTCCGGCTCCTCACTCACTACTTCGACGGCCGGGGAGCAGCGGGCCGACGCGGTGGCGGAGTTGAGCGACGCTGTGAGGAGGGTGGGACTCGACAGTGTGGCCGACCGCCTCGGCGCCCTTCGTCGACCCCGGAGGAGTTCCGGACGCGGTAGTGACCACGCTGGGTGTCGCCCGGCTTCAGTCTTTTGCTGTAGAAGACTGTCTGAAGGCCGTCTTCTATGGTCGCCGTTGGCATTGCTTCCGGTGGTGGTGCTGATCGTGACCCCCGTCGTGACCGCGATGCGTTTGATCGAGGGATGACTTCCGTCTCTGCACCAAGTAGTTTTGGGTTTATTAGGTAGAAGCGCTTGTTTTGAACGTATGGGAATTGGTGGTAAGACCTAGCTCAGGAACAATACGCGCCTCATGGTTCAGGTTCCGGTCTCCTCGTCCATTGGACCATTGTTCGTATATGTCGTACATTTGTTGAAACGTTTAGTTGTATAGCTGTATAGGTGCCCCAACTGTATAGTCGTCCGAGCTCAAACTAGTCTGTGCCAAGGTCGCCGGTTCTGTTCTTCACTCCCCCAGAGAATGATTCGGTAGGGACCGCCGTCGGTCAAACGAACCGCCGCCATGACACTGCTGGGATGGTGCAGTATCTCATGTAACTCATCCGGCTAAGTGTACGGAGCTGCGGGGTGTATTAGGATTTACTAAAATTGAGTCTGCAACTTGGTCTGTACCGAAAGCAGCAGGACTGAATGCACTGACACTGTGCATCGAACTGGCATACATGCTGTGATGTAAATTAAGTGAAATAGATATCCACATCCATATCTAGGTCAGATTTTGCCGCAGGACGCAAAAACCAGTACAGAGGCGGCTCCATAGCAATGTCATGCAACTAATTTTCCTCGGATGAGGTCAGGTTTTACAGTTTTGATATTCTCTATTTAACTGTAGTTCACACTGGTGTGTTGATTTAAAAAATGTCATCAATATGCAATAAAAATAAGACATGGAACTGATGGAGCCCATTTGTTTGTGACATGAAACTGACGGAGCCCATATGTTTGTGACATGAAACTGATGGAGCCCATATGTTTGTGACATGCAAAACTTCACGATCGGCGTGAAGAGTGCGGAAAACAAACCTTCGGTAGGTTGATATTGCAACTCTACTTGGCCGCAAATCAGCGCAAATCCTATCCAGAGGCAGTTAATATACATTTCAGGCGCTACCGAAATAGACTTATTGGACATAGACTTGCAGGAAAGACCATGACCGAGGACCGGGGGCGAGCGGATCGCACAGGCGTTGACCTGACTGGGCAGGTCAGTTCCGTACAGTGCTGCCGGGCGGGCAGATCACTGACCAACGCGGTCAGCAAAGCAGATGACGGTTCCTATGCAATCTTCAGTCACGCAACGTAGCAGAAAACAAAGCAACGAAGAATTATTGAGCAATGGTATAGCTATAAGTTGTTTTCACAAACCGTGAGACGTCACAGCGTCGGCTCACCGTTGGAATGGGCAACGCACCTGTCAGGGGCGCGGCAGCCGGTGCAGCATGTTAACACCCTGATCAAGGTGTGGTTCGGACCGTGTGTCTGCCGTGACTTCTGGCCGAGCCACTTCCGCTCTACACCCCAAGCGGTGCAAAAATGTACGTGCAACTAGTTGGCAGTAGTGACATGGCGAACACCTAATTAATTCGCACCTCGTGTCCAAGGTGATGGTGGCGATGTCACGTAAGTGTGTGAAGGGATTTCACGCGTCGGCCAGTGACCCGCACCCCAAACGATACCGTTGCAGCCGCATGAGTAGGGCTGTCTGTGAGCGGGGCATACTCGCACTCCTCTAAAGCTATTCCGTGCTGAGCTCGGGTGACAACTTCCCGGGCCGCTCGCACACTTGAGTCGCCGCTGACCCGGACGGGGTCTGGCGTCGCTTTACTCAGATACTGCAGAGATGACGTCACGCATTCATCTGCCTCCGCCCCGTCGGAAGTACAGACGGGATCAGGCCCCGACCAGCGCCCCAACAATGAGCGTCCACCAGGGAGCCTACACAAGGCGTCGAACCGCACTCGTTGTATTCCAGTGGTGAAGCACGCAACAATGCCTGACATCCGCATCCGCACCCGGCACTCACTCGGCTCCTCTTCAGAACCTCATCTCACCACATGAACGCGTGTCTTTTCGCGGAGGGCACCTTCGCGTCCGGCCGCCGCCGCCGCCTCACGCGCTGTTCTCACAGTTGCCGCGCAGCCGCTTGTCGCGCCGGACCTTGTCCAGGTCGACGTCCGGGTACTTCTCGCGCAGCAGGTCGTCGTCCAGGTCTGGGAACCTCTTCAGCAGGCCGATGACGTGCCGGTGCTGACGCCTGCCGGCAGCGAGTGTCACTCGTGAGGTCGCCACCGGCTGTCGGGACACCGCCCCGCGCGGCTCCAACGGCGCGCACGCGGCTTCTCGAGACCCCACCGGGACTCGTGAGTGGTAACTGCTGGGCCCTGTCATGCTGTTTGTCAATATGATTCGCTGCGGTCTATGGTGGTTGGCTACGGTCTATGGTGGTCTAAAGCACCAAGAGTGGTGCCGTCCCTAGCTCGGTGAGCCGCCCTCTTCCGAACCCAGCACAGGTGTCAGGTCCGAGACTGGAGGAGATGCCTTTTCGGTAAAAGGCGGGGGAGGACCGGACCCCGTCCCCGGCCTCTCCGGCTAAACCCTGAATCAGCAAACGGAATCCTCCCACTTCTTCGGGTTGCACCATAATTCGGCTGCTTGGGGCAGGACCTCAGCTCCTCTTTTTTATTCTTTTTTATAAATTTATCCCGAATGGTTTGTATGGGTGACTTCGGATTCAGAGTACCTGCTAAGCATAGCTTGATGCCTGTACCCCGAACCCACCACCCAAGCGTGCCGTCCAGTTCAACAGCTAATTTTGTCTCTGCCCTTTCGCCAGACAGGAATGCGGAGGGTTTTACGTGCCGCACAATGCTACGACACGGCCGCCTCTGGTCTGGGTTGAACTTCGTTGGCCAGCTGCCAGCTGGCCTTTCCATTTCAGTCGGGTCAAACAATGCGCCCACTCTGGGACTCGTACCCAGTGCCGCTGGATTACGAGTCCAGCACCTTTCCCCAAGACCCTTTACTGAAAAGGTCAAAGGCTAAGGCCTTCGGATTGCCACCGCTACCAGAGGGCCCATCCAATGCACCCTAGGGGAGAGAAGGGCATCACCATCAGTGACGACATTCTAACTCCCACGCACCTGGCCTGCCTGTTGGCCTCGGTGCGCTCCGCCTCGCGCCGCAGCTTCAGGAAGTTAGCCACGTCGCGGTTGACGTATGGCCGCGCCGGCCGCACCCGGTTCTCCTCCGTCTCCGGCTCCACATGCTCCTCCAGCGGCCGGTCCGTCAGGATACCTGCCGCGGGGCGCGGCGCGACGTGAGCTGAGCGGGAGCGCCCGGACAACGCACGCGAAGATCCCACGAAGGCGTCGTTTTGACTGGCCATTGCGTCCGCGCTGTGGTCGGTGTTCATTCAGACAAGCGAGGTGGGCCACGAGCGGCAGCGCCGGCTACCGCGACCACGTGAAGCGATATTTCGTCCACACTGTCCGTCCGTCTCGCGGCCCTTCCGACCACGCGGCGATGGCCAGAGCGTGCCCGTCACGTACCGAACTGGTTCCTCTCGTGGCGCACCGGGCGGCAGCCATCCTCGGCCTCCGACACCTCCAGCTGCCAGTAGGCCTTGTTGCGCTCCTTCACCACCAGCTCCAGGTTCTGCATGCTCTCGTTCACCTGGCGACACGCTTCACGCGTCACGAAGCGGCAGTGCATGCCGCTCCCGCGTTCCGTGGCGTTTACCGGAATATGTCACTACTAAGAGCCACTGAAAGATAATAACCTGAACCGTGACAGAACAAGGGGCGAAGGCCTGCTTACCCCCTTGTGGGTGCATCACACTGCAAGTAAATTCTAAAAATGTCTTGTGGAGGTGAATAAAGAATAAAACATCCCAAACATGCAGCACATACGTACTGTCTCTGTTTCTAACATACAGTTCCATTCACACCTTATCGATACGTTCCGGGTTAGGAAACAGCTCCTTCTCCGTCTTTTCGTAGAAGTGCTCTGCTGTCAGCAGCATGTTCCGCTCCTTCAGCAGCACGTACCTGAAAGAGACATACCTCGCGGTTAAAAAGACCTAAAAATGGTTACTCAGTACACAATGGTTACATACAACTATACATATGTCCATCGCTGCGAACCATATTTCACCATCATGTGATATATTTTAACAACGTCACGCATTTGGTATCAGAACTGTACGTCAGCGCGATCAACTGCCAGAGGTCACCAAAGCATGCTCTGACATCACAATATGGGTCTCGCCCATTGGCCACGTGCCAGCGGTTTCATCCGAATGGCACAGCGCAGAGCCGCGCCGATCCCAGCAGTGGGAAGAACTTCAGCCTGACGCAATGGTACCATCTATGTAAGCCAGGTCAAAAGATTGCGCTGCTGTCTACGGAAAGAATCGGTCCTTGTCCTTTTTTGGTCAAACTTTGTCTCTTAAAATCGCAGCGGGTACGTGGTGAAATCTTAGGCAATGCAATCGACCGAGAGCTTGGCGGGATTGCCAACTGATAACAAGCGGCAAGAACAGGCTTGACGCTCACAAATGCGAAATTTCGGGGGACTTATACTTCTGTTACTCTTACGGTTGAATGACGGCGTCAAGACCTGCACCGACCTTGATGGCGGTCGGTGCAGGGACCGTCAAGTCTGTCATGTCGGATTACCGCCCACTGTCACAACGGTGTAGACCCTAGCGTATCAGCGCCATCTCGCGGCAAGCGAAAAACGTCATGTAATGGAGGCGTGTCGCCGCGTGGCATGCCCGAACTGAGGCTTGCTGTTGACATCTACGAGCTTGTGATGTTTGCCATGCAATTCCACGCACGCGAAAATCGGCGCCGATGTCACATGACAATGTTGACATCACGACGTGGGTTCGATTTTTACTGAAGTGCATTTATCCGACAAGAACGAAAACATTTACTGAGGACAGTCATCCAAGGTTTTGCATGGCATAGCAAACATCCCCATTGTCTGTTATTTGCCAACAGTTTGGGGCAGAATGATTTCACATTCGGATGACCTGTGTAAAGCGCTAGTACACAACCAACAGAGCATGCTCAGAAAAGGCTCTTGAGCCGCTCCATTCCAGTCAAAAGCCACAGGCTTTCGACCCAAGTCCATTTGAACAAAGAGGACGATTAACTTTACTTTGAAAACGTGCACGATGTCGCGGACCCCAGTCGTGAAACCCACGACGCACCACAGTTTGTGCAGGTCCTGGTTACTCTTCAGCCTCAGCTCCTCCGCCTTCCACGCCCGTCCGACTCGGACCTCGTCCGCGCCCCAATTCTTCTCGTCGTCAAAAAACTCCATCAAATCTCTCCTGCATGTCGATGTGTACACCAGCCTGCAAACGTCAGTTTCATACCTGCGTTGCAATGTCTAGAGGTCAAACACTGATACCAACAAAAACTTTGCCATGATTATGACTGCATGCTCAACTGAAAGTGGCACAACAAATGTGAAATCGATGTTTGCTGACAACCTGCTGTGACAATTTGCCACAGCAAGATGAAATACTTGGAAGCAGCCCCATGTCAGTTGGACAGATCTGTTTCACAATCCAGGCATACCTGACATGAAGTTGGCAGCATAATTAAGAGGTCTGTGCAGCTTGCCCTTGTCAGCCCAGCAATATATCGAGCACATCCAAGTACAGAACACATATGCCCTGCACGTGTAACAGGTTCAACACCTACCCAAAAGTGTTTCATTGCACCTGGGATGCTAGTGTTGAACTTACTGAATCGGGAGAATCACGATGGGATTCAAATATGGGCATATACCAGTGCGTGCCTAATGCTTTGCCATACCTGCACTGCCAAAGAAAAACATCTAAATTTGACAGTAGCTGACAGGAAGTGAAGTAAAACCATGTGTGTAAGTCTGACTTCTTTTAATTCACATACTATGGGAAACATCTGTAAAACAGTGCCATGAGAAAAGGCTGAAACTTACCTACGCCACATACGAGACGACGAGGATACCGGGAGCAGCAGCTGATGTGCTGTTGTTGAAAATGTGATGGGCGCCTGACCGCCTGCAGATCGTCAGCTTGAAAACGACCTCAGGCATCGACTTAGTGACGAGTATGAACACATCCTGACAGCACCCCAATCAATCCACAGGCATCAAGATCCTATGCCACAGCTCACAGATGACAAGCCTGGAATGGCAAGAAGGCTGTTAATGACCATGTGGCACACAATCATATTTTGCATATTTATTCTCCCATGACAGAACAAGCAACAGCAAAAAGGCTGTTAACAACCACATGGCACAGTGTGCCAGGCACACAAGCATATCCTGCATATCTATTCTCTGATGAGAATGGGAGAATAAATATGGGAGAACATGAGAAAATGAGTGTCACCTTACAAATGGCTGGGCAGGACAGCTCAAAGGAGCAGTGGGGGAGGGTATCCTCCCTTTATGGAATGACACCAGCCCACCAACTACATTGGTCTCAAATGTGCAACATCTCCCAGCCTATTTGCCTTTGAAGTCACTGACCAAACTTGTTCCAACATCATATCATAATAACAAATATTTTAGCTTCAGTGGTCCAGCCCAATATGGGCAGTCAGCAGCACTTTATGCAGGCTTATATTGCTGTAGTCATAAATTGTGCTGCCTTGTGATCTGCAGCATAAAGAAGTACTGCTATCAGTGTTTCATAAATTTTATCCTATTTATTAAGCACATCCTAAGTACTTTCCATGCTTGTGCTGTTCTCTCACCATAGTATGTTGTTCATTACCATTTTGGCACCCAGACTGCCAGTTATCAGAGCTGCTTTAAATGCCAATGCAAGTAAATATACACTACCTTTGCAATACTGCAGAGCTATGAAAAAATGAAGATAGTATACAGTGATAGGTGCACCACCCCAAAGCAAGTAATCATGGCACCCAAGGTGAAATGAACTGTGATGAATGACAGAGATTGTGACAATTTATCAGTGTATTGGATCTTTATAAATATGAAGGCAATGCAAAGTTTTTGGCAATCTCTCCTAACATTCCTCCATAATGGACAGATTTGTATAGCTAAATGTCTCCTATCCCATTTTAGCCAGGGTATAGTATTAGCATGCACCTTGGAACCTACTATGGCCCTACTGTGTTGGTTGAGTGCTATTGCTGTCACCACCCACATTGCTGTTATTAAATCACACCATCACTAGTGGAAGATATTTAAACAGCGATCTTTTGGCATTCATACACACTCATGAAACAGCACCAGCTGAATGATGACTATAACAGGACATTTCTAACCAATTTGTTTGCGTAGGATATTGCTGAGAGGTCTTAGTTCCATCTTACAGCAATGTGACATATCTGTGCTGTTAGGCAAGTGTCTCTGGTCAATGCATTTTGAATTACTAGGCAGAGCCATAACATAGTATTGTTTAGGACTGAAATATTATTTCATGATCTAACAGGGGGCAAGAGAGACAAGTTCCCTGACCCCACCGACATTAGACGTCCGGGCTTTTGAGAATGAAGTAAACAACCATCGTTTCTAACACTAATTCCGTCAGTCGGCAAGTTTACTGGAATATATTATGTTGAATTGACATTGAATTACCGAAAGTAGTTACCCGGCTGTAATTCGCGCCACACATAAGACAAGCACCATAGCTACTGGCCACGCGTGGCAAACGAAATTATTTGTATCTATTCGTTTTCGTTACTTCGTGAAACTTCAGCTGGTTCAATATTCACAAAATGCATCTCAACTATCCCACACCGCTAGCAGCCAGCGGAGCCAACATTACGGTTCAGGTGGTCAATTGGTCTTCAATGCGTCATTATTGGACGACCGTCTACCACAATATTGACTGTGATGAACCTAGTGTGTAAATCTAAAGATGAGCTTTTCATGGCCTATATGCCATATACAATAACAAATTAAACAATTAAATATCTTTTTTTGCGAAAAAAAGACTATTATGTACTTTAATATTTTATAAACTCAAAAAAAATCATAAAAGAATATAATATTCTGAGCACATATGGCGTTTTGTTCCACACAAAACTGGACCACTGGTGCCTGCCGTGGTTGGAACGTCGTTGCCGCATTGTGAATCGTCCGTACTGCCGTCACCTGGTCCCACAGAAACGAAGCGGTCCGCCAAGGTATCTTGGATTAAGACTCATTTCATTGCCGTCTTAGTGTTGGTGCTGACTGACTGCTGTGTTATGCATGGAAGCGATGTGGACTCAGTAACCCTGTTGTTGGTGGGCTTCGTCAGTGTGTCGTCTGAAATTCCACCACTTCTTGCTGTTGGTGACGAAAGTATGTTGTGTTTTAGCTTTATGAAATGAGCTAACAATTTCTGTTCTTAGTGCACCATTGAAAGGTTCAGCAAAGTTCCGTAGGAAATGCCACGTTGCTGCTTAGACTTGGTCTAGGACATGATTAGGTACCAACAATTGGAACTGAACAAACTGAAAAATACTTCATGGTACAACAGTGTGGGCATTGAGGTTAACTTCTCACTGCAGGCATGGACTCAAGCTGTATGGCCAGTGTTAAAGCATGGTGCCTTAGCTTGCAGCATATTGAAAACCATTGTTTTTAGGAAATTGGAATGTGTGCAGACTATGATAAACTCAGAAATACTTTGAAAATTCACCCTAAGCTAAACCTCATCATATTTGAAAATTCAGCTTAAGCTATACCTAATCATATTTATTACATACATGTGTCAGATTCAGCACATTGTTATGAAGTTAGGCAGCACAGTGGGTGGATGTCTTTGGAGCTAGGTGGGGTATATATCAAGCAGTTCAAGTACTGTGATTTGCAGACTTAACAATGCAGGAGAAGTGCCATTTGCTCACAAAGTGTGTTGGCTCATGAATTCTGAGGTCATTTCACAGGCTGATGTAATTGGTATAGCTTGTATGCATGATGAGAATAGAATGCCTGGATGAGCTATTCAGGAACTGAATATAGTGGTTTCAGAATTGTGTATGTCTGGCCTCTCTCCATCCATAAAAGTTCAATAAAAACTGAGATAGGGGGATGAAGGTGAAAGTGAGATAGGTGAGTAAAGGTAAAAGCATAATAAAAGGGTGGAGGTAGAAGATAAATATTGTGTGCTATCATATGCCAATATCTGTGCAAAATTCAACAAGAAGGCAGCCTTCAACATGCCAGATTGTTTGGCTGTGTTGCAGATCTCCAGTAGCCATGCCATCGAGCCGCGATGCGAGGCGAGATCGCCGTCGCAGCGAGGACTCCGACCAACAGAGCAGGAGGCGGCCGGCCGCCGACCGCAGCAGGGACAGGTCCGGCCGCAGCAGGGACAGGTCCGGCCGCAGCCGGGACAGGTCTGGCCGCCGCAGCGCCAGTCCCGAGCGCAACACCAACTGGCACTGGAAGCGCGGCCAAAAGAGCGACTCCGACGAGCCAGAGGGCCGAGACCGGCGCTCGGGCAGGGACGGGCGCCGTCCCGTCTCGGTTCGCGACGGCCGGCGGGACAACAGAGGCGGCTCCGGCGGGGCGCGCGGCAGGGACAGGCGCGCCAGCGGGGACCGGGTTCGGCCACGGCCCGGCAGGCGGGGCGGCAGCACCGACTCGGACGAGCGGCACAGCCGGGACCGACGCGCCGGCGAAGGGAAGAGGAAAGCTCGGGAGCGGAAGCGAAGTGCGAGCAGTGATTCGGACGAGGGGCACAAGAAAGACAGGCCCAGTGTTGGAAAACGGGACAAAAAGCGAGATGATTCCAGTGATTCGGATGATTCATCGGGTTCAGAAAAGGCCACAGTTAGGAAAGGTAACAAGGGCCAAGTTTCGACTAAAGATCAACGTCATGACACTGATTCCGATGACTCAGAAAGCTCGACTGACGCAGAGAAAAGCAAACGCCACAAAAAGAAACACCATAGGCGTAAACACGACGAAAGCAGTTATTCTGACGATGCAGACAAGCACAAAAAAGGCGAGAACAAAGATCACGGCAAAGACAGGCATCAAAAGAAAAGTCGAGACACAAGTAGTGATTCAGAAAGCGCGGGAAGCAAAAGCAAGATTGACAAAAGAAAGAAGAAAAGTAAAGACCAACGTCGCAGCAAAAAGCAGGATCAAAGCAGCGATTCCGAAGAGGCACAAGCTGCGGACAGAAGTGCGAGTCGAAAGCGGACTAAACAAAAAAAGCGTGACAAAGCTCGAGACAGCAGCAGTAATTTAGAAGACGCACAGTCTAACAGGAAGGACAACAAAATAAAACCCAGCCGAACCTCCCAGCCGAGCAAGAGACAAAGCGACAGCAGCAGCAGCAGTTCGGACGATTCCGGCGCCGCGCGCCAGAGCGGCGACGGCGGGCGCGGCGGCGATAGACCGGAGAACACGGGGCGCGACCTGGCCGGCGGTCGGAGCGGCAGCCTGGGCGGCGACGGGGACCGACGGCGTCCGGAGGGTCGCAGCCGGCAGGTGCGGGGTGGAGGCGACGTCGGGCGAGACGAGCGGCGGGACGAGCCGCGACGCTCTCCCGAGCAGGGGTCGAGCCGCCGCCGGCGCGGCGACGTAGAGGGCAGGAGCGGGCGGGATCGAGACAGGAGCGGACACGACCGGGACAGGAGTGGACACGACCGGGACAGGGGCGGACATGATCGCGACAGGAGCTGGCACGGACGGGACAGGGGTGGACATGACCGGGACAGGAGCAGGTATGACCGGGACAGGAGTGGACATGACCGGGACAGGAGCGAACGTGACCGGGACAGGAGCGAACGTGACCGGGACAGGAGCCGAACGGACCGGGATAGGATTCGGGACGATCGGGACAGAAGCCGTTCCGACCGGGACAGGAGTGGGGCCGACCGGGAGAAGAGAAAATCCGGTGGGGACAGAGCCAAAGCTGACCGAAACGGGAGCGACGCCGACCAAGACAAGAGCACAGCCGACCGGGGCAGTAGTCGGACTGACCGAGACAAGAGCAAAGCGGGCGGGGATAGGGACGTAGCCGAGCGGGACAGGAGCAGAGCTGGCAAAGACGGGGATGGAGCCGACCGGGACAGGAGTAGAGCTGACAAAGACGGGGACGGAGCCGACCGGGACAGGAGCGGAGCTGACAGGGATAAGAGCCGGGCCGACCGAGACAAGAGCGACAGTGAGGAGGGCGGGAGCGAGGCGGACCGGGGCTCGGCTGAGAGGACGCGCCAAGGGGAAGCCGACCGGTCAGTGCCGGGCAGAGATGAAGCCCCGACGGAGGCTGCTAGCGGGGAAGACGATTCGGACAGCGACTCAGATGCGGAGGAGAAGAGTCCTGAACAGCAAGCCGCCGCTGAGAAAACGTGCGCTTCGGGCAAGGTCAGTGATGACGTTGGGAATTGAAAGACGCACGTATTGTGTTTTCTGTTTGGTTGTTAGGTATTGGTTCGCGTGCAAGTTGAGTGTGTGTTTTGTGGTGGTTAGATTCACTCATTGAGGTGGGAAGATAGCATCTAATCCAAAAACAGATGGATTTCACGAATTCAATGTGACAAGTATGCTCAACAATCTTTAAAACGTCTTTGTAATACATGCTGTGGGGCAGCAGCATGGTTCACGTTCCTGCATCCTCGGTATTTGGCCCTTGTGTGAACAGCTTGTGTGTTACCGATCTTTTATGTACCATTTATAGTAAGCTACTTCTGTACAGCCTTCTAGTGGCTTTTCTACACCCAGCGCAGGGCCAGTCTCGTCACACTGACGTGGTTGCATTGGTTATTACCCAACATGTAAGCTAAATTCTAGGAACTGTTCAGTGATGTTTAGGCATGATTTATGGGTTGAGTAGGTGAGTTGGAACTGGATGGCCGGGGACGGCGACCTCCCCTTGGGCTGTTCGTTGCCATGGTTGTTGATGTAATTGAGTTGGCTGCAATCCGATGGTATTCAATGTTGGTATGGGTCAGGCTTCTTGGTTCCCCTTCGGGCCCCTCTTACTTCGAGCCCACCACGTTCGCAGCTGCCTCGCGTATGGATCGAGGTACTGCGACTGCCAGAGGGTCTCGGTGTTGTGTTATCGGACGGTCGTATGATACCTCTACCCGATGTGAATTAATTCGTTTTTAATAGCACCTGCAACTTTGTTAGTCAGACGTGACGTCCTAAATGCACTGTCATGTTCTCAGTCGTCGGAGTCCTCGGAGGACGAGAGGAAAGAGTCGGAAGAGGCTGCGATGAAGCTTGCGCACGCCGCTTCGGGAAGCGGCGACGAGGCGGCGGCGAAGCGGCCGCATCGCGAGGCCAGCGAGTCGGGCGAGGTGTCTGACGACTCGGAGTCGGGCGGAGCCGGCGGCGCGGCCACCGGCGAGCGGCCGCCGCCGGAGGAGACCCGGGGCCGCGACGCTCGGGAGGAGCGGCGGCCGGCGGCCGACAGCCGTCAGGGGAGCCGGGCCGACCGTCGTCGCGCCGGGGCGCCGGACGAGGGCGGCGGGCGGCCGCGTGCGGAGCGGGTCGGCTCGCGCTACTGGCGGGATGAATCCCCGCCGCCGCCGCCGCCGCCGCCGCGCCGACGCTCGCCGCCCGCGCGCGACGTGGCCAGCCCGAAACGGGCCAGGGGGGACGCCTCGCCGCCACCGCCGCCTCCGCCGCCGCCGCCGAAGCCGGAGGATCTGCTGGCGACGAGGACGGGCGGCGCGTACATCCCGCCGGCTAAGCTGCGGATGATGCAGGCGCAGATCACTGACAAGAGCAGGTGTGGGGACCATCGCCGGACTCGTTTTGCCGAGCACATGCGCGCGTCACTCTTGCTAATGTAACGTGGAGTTTTGCGCTCGTGGTTCGTGAGGCTCTTGTTTTTGTACTCTATGTGGAGTTAGATAATGTGGTGCTGGTTCTGTAGCACGTCAGCTAGGCTGCAAGACGTCATTCACGGATTCTGAGGAAAACTGTCAGTATCTTTAGCCTTACCCTATACTGTAATATCTCCCTTTTCTGCGTCCACTTTACTGGAAGGCTTTAACCATTGAAACGCTTTAACCTGCGAAGTCATAAAATTTGTGACATTCGCCAACGTTGACGTGGACGTTAGACCCTGGCCAATCAGAACAGCGTCTCAGACCCGGACACGTGTGTACCCGCTCCTTCTCCTGCAGCGCCGCGTTCCAGCGACTGGCCTGGGAGGCGCTCAAGAAGTCGCTGAACGGCCTCATCAACAAGGTGAACGTCTCCAACATCAGCATCATCGTGCGTGAGCTGTTCGCCGAGAACATCGTGCGTGGCCGCGGCCTGTTGTGCCGCTCCGTGCAGCAGGCGCAGACGGCCTCGCCCACCTTCACGCACGTGTACGCCGCCTTCGTGGCCATCATCAACTCCAAGGTGCACCTTCGGGGCTGCCACTGTAGCAGCGATGAGGCAGACGGGCGCGGGTGCTGGGCGGAGAGGGAGTGAGTGGTGCTGGGTGGTGTGTTTGCGTCTGTTTCGCCTCACGTTTGCGATCAGGATATTTGACTGGAGTGTTCGTCCACTACCTTGGTGTCCGGTGTCATGGTGTCTCACTCAGCACAGTGGACAGAGGCTGCTTTGTCATAGCCAACTCGCTCACACCATGCTGCGAAAACCAGCCCGCATAGCGCCAAGGGACATGGCCACATGTCACCTCAAATCACCTGCGCACGACTACTGGTCGAACCAAACGCGTTATCCTCATCGAGCACGGTTGGACGCGGTCAGTCGCTTGTCCCGCTGGCGGGAGATGAGGAGCGTTGTCCGGCCGTGACGAGTCGGGTGGCGGCCGCCTGGTGCTGCGCCGCCGCCGGTCCCGGACCCGCTGACGTCCTGTGGCGCCTCAGTTCCCGCAGATCGGCGAGCTGCTCCTGCACCGGCTCATCCTGCAGTTCAAGCGCGGCTTCAAGCGCAACGACAAGACACTCTGCATGTCGGCCACCCGCTTCATCGCCCACCTTATCAACCAGCAAGTGGTGAGTGTCGCCCCTGGCGCGTGGACGACCGTTTGGCCCGCCGGGCGCAACATGACCTGAAGCTCCAGTGTTGGGACCGTCTCCCAAGGCGCGCATTGCGTTGGGAGGGGTTACGTGTTGCTTGTTTTCTGGTTGTCTGTTCCCGCGTTGTCTGTGCCATTGTTGCGCTGCAGCTTTGATATGAACGTCGTTTTGAAGCGGTCTACGCTGTGCTCGAATGTCCAGTTGTCTGCGATGGCATGCTCGCTTGTTGTCGACTGGCGGACGTATACCCCTGTACTCAAACGCGGTCAACGATGGTGTCAACTCGTGACGAAATGCATCACTTGTTGATTAATTACCGCGCCCCAGATGAAGCACACCACCGACCGGTCCACACCGCTACGCTGATACATGATCGCGGGGGAAGGGCTCCAGTTGACACCCCTTCCTCTCCGGTCTGGCGCCTCCCCCGCTCTGGGAGCCTCCGCCGCTGACGTCTGCATGTCGTCAGGCGCACGAGGTGCTGTCACTAGAGATGCTGACGTTGATGCTGGAGACGCCGACGGACGACTCGGTAGAAGTGGCCATCTCCTTCCTGCAAGAGGTCGGCCAGAAGCTGACCGAGCTGTCGCCGCGCGGCATCAACGCCATCTTCGAGCGGCTGCGCCACATTCTGCACGAGGCGCAGCTCGACAAGCGCGTGCAGTACATGATCGAGGTGCTGTTCGCCGTGCGCAAGGACAACTTCAAGGCGCACCCGGGCTTGCTGGACGAGCTGGACCTGGTGGAGGAGGAGGACCAGTTCACGCATCTCGTGACGCTGGACGAGGTCACCAACGCCCAGGACATCCTCAGTGAGTGGCGTCTCACCGTCGGCAAGGTGCACCGCCGCCGCCGAGCGGCGAGTGCTGCCGGTGTCAGCTGAGCCTTGCCTCTGTCAGCGGCTGATGCCGAACAGTTTGTAGTTGTCTTTTGCTTGCCTGTCTGCACATCGTGACAGGCCATGAACTAAGCTGTCAAAATTCACACAGTGGTCAGGGAACAGGGTCGAATGCAAGGGAAGGGATGTGAAAGTACAGGTGAAAGTTACCGGATCAGGTTGGGAATGACGATGAAGGGTGTACAGAGGATACGCTTTTGGCTAGCTTGGTTTATCAGCTACAGCATTTAGCCATCCGTACAGAGGAAACTGTGTGTGGATCGAAATTTGTACTCTGTAATACGCTAGCTCGACTACACAAATTGTGAGGTGTGCAGTTATGTGGCATTGCTGCCAGTGCCCATGCGCCCCCTTTGGCTTCACCTTTGCACTCCCAACATAGCGAGGTGTATTCAATTTCGGTCACCTCCAATTCACAGTATCGATTAAGACCGCTGACGGGCTGTACACTCCCACGCACTCGGATACTAGACCTTGTGGTGTGAACAGCAGCTGCTCTGACCCACCGCAGCACGGAATAGCCACCGGCCGCCTCATCCCTGATGTTATCTCCCTCGCCATTGAACAGCCCGGCAGCTGACAGGGTCGCCGCTCTTCTCCACTCCCCCCCCCCTCCCCCCATCTCCCGGTGCATCATTAGCGCCCCCCCCCCCCCTCCCCGACGGCTGACCGGTGACGCCCCCCCCCCCCTGCAGACGTGTTCCAGTTGGACACAGAGTACGAGGCCAACGAGGAGAAGTACGCCACCATCAAAGCCCAGGTGCTTGGCGAGTCGGACGGCTCGGAGGATGGCAGCGGCTCGGACGACGAGGATGACGAGGACGCCGACAGCGATCAGGAGCAGGGTGAGAACTCCCACAGCTATCCTCATCCCATATTTCCCCCCTCCCCCCCCCCCCCCATTCGGTCGTGTGTGTCATTGGGACTTTACGACGCACTCAGCTGATGAGGCTATATGGCGTCACCTGCCTCTCACCCTGGCGGGAAGGGCGGGCACCGCGGGAATCGAACCCCGTACCTCTGGTTTCCCAGACGCACGGTGGTGCCCCTACACTGCCGCCCCCCCCCCCCCCCCTTCTCCTGTTCGGTCAGTGATTTGTGTCGTTACTCAGGTTTCCGGGCACTGCGAATCGGATGTACTCGGAAGCGTTTCAATCCGCGGTGTATGTGCTCCAAACTTGAAATGGGGTTGGAAAACTTCTGTTACGTGAGAGCATGTTGCATTGGTATGTGGCCAACGAAGTCACCGGCCAATGGCGTGTCATGAACTTGCACGTGTGTATAAAACCATGCGCTGGCCCGCTAACATGTGGTATGCGTCTCATTGCACGTACGCGGGTTTCGGCTTTTGCACTTTGAAAGAAAGCGAGATCCCTTCAAATAGTACTCAACAGCTCTATAGCAAGCCACGCATGCCTTCCCTGCCCACCGCCGTAAGTTGCCGACGTCGTTCGCAGATGACACGGCGCCCATCATCGACAACACCGAGACGAACATGCTGGCGCTGCGCCGCACCATCTACCTCACCATTAAGTCCAGCCTGGACTTCGAGGAGACGGCGCACAAGCTGCTCAAGCTGAACCTGAAGCCGGGCCAGGAGGTGGAGCTGTGCCACATGGTGCTGGACTGCTGCGCGCAGGAGCGCACGTACGAGAAGTTCTTCGGCCTGCTGGCGCAGGTAGGGCTGCTGGAGGCGTGGGTGAGGTACGGGTGGGGGAGTGTCGCGATCGGAGACAGGTTAGTACTATACATAGGTCGGTAAGGAGACTGGTTAATCAGCGAATAGCGGTATAGCCAGGCGGGAGATGACGGCGTACTGGGAACGAGATGTAAGGAAGTGGTATTCAGTCGTTGGGAACAAAATGGGAGGAAGCGGTCTTGAGTGCGGTATTAAGTGAGTAGTTATTTGGGTTTACGGGCACCACGACAAGGTGCCCTTGGTATGAACATCCCCGGTGAAGATCAGTGTACATAATGTACCAGGATTGACATGAAGGCGGTGCTGCGCCTGTCCGGAGTTGTGACTGTTGTTTCAATCACCGTCTGCTGACGGCTCCGTGCGTGACTGGCGTCGCGTCATATTTCCATGGGGAGACCGGGGTAAGAAATGACGAATCCATCGCCCGGGGGGATGTTTCACTGGTCCTATCGGTCAACCAGTGCGATCGTGTGTAGCGTAAGTGGTGATAGTGGTGATGACAGCGGTGATTCGAAGCGTAATCGATCATCTTAAGCAAGGTAAACACCTAGAATGTTGTAAAGAAACGGTTGACAATTGGTTAATGCAGGCTCGCGCGGGGATATACAAAAGCGATATTTTGTGTCGAATTTGTTTACTAGAAATAGGCATGAAACCTTTTGTTTGTAAAAGCTGCTTTGATAACCGTGGTTTCATCAACAGTCATTAGTTCCATTCAAATGCGCATGTTAGGACACAATTCAGTGACCATTGTCCAACTGTCAACCCAAGTAAACCTTAAGTATTGCAGACGCCGTCTCGTATATCTGCCATGATATCAGAGCCTGTCTGGTCCCGTCGAACCCGATAACTTAACCGATGTAAGACTCGGTTTTACAAGGAACAGGGATCTTACACTAGACGTGGGACGCAAACTTCCGTAGGCGTGCTGACACCAGAAGCGTTTTCTTTCAACGATTAGCTCGCCTTTTAGTCTTAAGAATATTCCCCTGCCAGCTCGTGAAAGTCAGTATAAAATGTCGCGGTCTACCGATGCCGAAGCTAGGTATTTAGTGTGAATCTCTAAAGTCCGTGATCGCCAGCGAAGCTAAATCTGCCTCCCTTGGCAGCGGTTCTGCAACATCAACCGCAAGTACCAGGACCCGTTCGAGCAGATCCTGCGGGACACGTACGACACGGTGCACCGACTTGAAGCCAGCAAGCTGCGGAACGTGGCCAAGCTGTTCGCACACCTTCTGTACACGGACGCCATCTCGTGGGGCGTGCTCTCCCACATCCGGCTCAACGAGGAGGAAACCACCAGCTCCAGCAGGATCTTCATCAAGATCTTGTTCCAGGAGCTCTCCGAGTACATGGGCCTCCCCAAGCTGAACGATCGTATCAAAGACGGGTAAGAATGGGCCTCCCTAAGCTGAACGATCGTATCAGGGACGGGTAAGAATGGGCCTCCCTAAGCTGAACGATCGTATCAAGGACGGCTAAGAATGGGCCTCCCTAAGCTGAACGATCGTATCAACGACGGGTAAGAATGCGGAATGGCTCTGGTCTGGACCGCTGATAATGATGATGGGTGAGGGATGACGATGGCTTCGTTAGTCTCATGGCAGTGGTGGATTATTGTGATTAATAGGGATGGAGGCTGGCCGAATGCATGCACAGTGGTGCTTCAATGTTGTGGGAACACGCACTTTGTGCCATAGGTATGTTTTTCACATGTGTCATAGGAAATGAGGCTGGTCCTACTTTTTTCTGTTTTCTTCGTGTGATTTTCGTTATCCGCATCAGGACGATGAACGAGAATGGGTGACAGTAAGTGCATGGGATGCTCGCAGTAGCGATTGCGTAAGCACAGATATTGATCATCGTGGCTCATATGCCCACATTGTCCGCGCTTGTTCCAGGACTTTGGCCGATGCGTTCGAGGGCATCTTCCCCCGAGACGACCCCAAGAACACGCGCTTCTCCATCAACTTCTTCACGTCCATCGGCTTGGGCGGCCTAACGTGAGTCGGAGCTGGATGCGACACGGCGAGCACGGCCTGTCGGGTCGCTCATCCAGCCCAGTGACGTCGGTCGGCTTGGTATTCGATCGGCGCTAATGACTTTTGTTACTGGACATCACTGGTGGCGGCCGGCGGCGCATTCTGAATCGCCTGGATCTGGTACCACCGTGGTGGTATCGGTATTCGTCGAGCTGCCGTCGCTACACAAATAGCGGAGCATTTGAGTCGGCCTGAGAACTGTTCTTTCGCCGTGATCATACTGAAGCCAACGCTTGGAATGCTTGACAGAAGGGACCTAGTTAGTTGTGCCTCCACTTCATGCATCGCCTGGTGTGTATGTTTTATTTGCGGAAAACACAGCATGTCGTTCCTAATCGGCTCTAACTTCTGTCAAAACTATAGACTTTCGCAAATGCCGGTGTTGTGATATGCGTGTCAACGAAGTGCCGCCGCGCCTTATCAGTCGTCCCATTGGTCTGTCCGACTGACCCCGGCTGACCCGGCTGACCCTCGCTGACCCGCAGTGACGATCTGCGCGAGCACCTGAAGTCGCAGCCGAAGCCGACAGCGGTGGTGGCTCCGATCGTCAAGGACGGCAAGTCGTCCAGCGAGAGCAGCGAGAGCAGCAGCTCCAGCTCCTCCGACAGCAGCTCCAGCTCAGGTGGGTGCTGTCTAGGCGTAGGTCCGGCTCAGGTGAGCGCTGCAGCCGCCGTCAGCTGCGGGACGAGTGGAAGCACCGAGTCGGGGCCGTGATCGTTGGCGAAGCCAGAGAAACAGTGGCAGCGGTCAGCGAACCCAGGAGTTCTGCCTCCCCCTTAGCCCCTCCTGTTCGCCCCAAGACTGGTCCTGGGAGACCTCTCTGACGGCGTATGTCCATCAAGAGACACGAGTGGCGCACTCCTGCTGCCTTAGGAGCTGTCCCCGCCTCTTAACCCTTCCTTTCCCGCCCCAGAGGGTGGCTGGGAGACCTCTCTGAACGGCGGTTGTCCGTCGAGAACACAGTGGCGCCACTCCTCCGGCTGCCAGGAGCTGCCCTTCCCTCTTACCCTTCCTGTCCGCCCCAGAGGGTGGCTGGGAGATCTCTCTGACGGCGGTGTCCGTCGAGAACACAGTGGCGCACTCCTGCCCAGGAGCTGCCCCTCTCTTACCCTTCCTGTCCGCCCCAGAGGGTGGCTGGGAGATCTCTGACGGCGGTGTCCGTCGAGAACACAGTGGCGCACTCCTGCTGCCAGGAGCTGCCCCTCCTCTTACCCTTCCTGTCCGCCCCAGAGGGTGGCTGGGAGACCTCTCTGACGGCGGTGTCCGTCGAGAACACAGTGGCGCACTCCTGCTGCCAGGAGCTGCCCCTCCTCTTACCCTTCCTGTCCGCCCCAGAGGGTGGCTGGGAGACCTCTCTGACGGCGGTGTCCGTCGAGAACACAGTGGCAGGCGCCCGCCAGGCATGAGTCGGGCAGAGTTCGGCGGGCAGTGGAGGCTCCAGAGACGGTGGCTCTTAGGCACGTGGGCACGCCGGCTCCGGCCTGTGTCGCGGGGCTGCACGGACATAACCGACAAGGTCGTCGTCTAATGTGCACTCTGTTTCCGGCGTGGTCACCGTCCCACATGCTCGACGGTGTCCCTGTCCGACTTTTCTTTCGTCGCCATCGGCTCGTGCGCTTGAATCAACTCGCCATATTGGTGGCCGGGTCGTCGTTAGCCGCGTCTCACTAGGCTTATCTCGCCCCAATGTGTCCGACGCGAGCTGTGCCCGGTCTGTCTGGCTGGTCTCGAGTGTGGTATGGCGAACGTGGCTTGGTTTGTTGCGCCTGACGCGTGGTGACCCGTGTGTGACAAGACCTGCGTCTCACCCGGCGCCTGGTGTGACCTTCGTGTGATTTGGGTCTCGCCCGGCGTCTGGCGTGACCTTCGTGTGACCTGCGTCTCACCCGGCGTCTGGTGTGACCTTGTGACCTGGGTCTCACCCGGCGTCTAGCGTGACCCTCGGGTGACTTGCGTCGCACCCGACGTCTGGCGTGACCTGCGTGTGACCCGGCCGGCGCTCGCCGCAGACTCGTCCGAGAGCTCCGACAGCTCGGAGGAGGAGCGGCGCCGGCGCAAGCGCAAGAAGAAGAAGGCCAAGTCCTCCGAGTCCGACAGGCGGAGGAAGCGACGCAAGACCAAGAGCCGCCGCGAGTCGTCCCCCGTCGCCTCCTCCTCGGCGCGGAGGCGGTAGTGTCGGCCGCGAGGGCAGTCTGTTCACAGTTGAGGGCGGTAGACACTTCAGGGGGGGGGGGGGGGGAAGGGGCTGTCGGGTCGGGCACTCCATGTCATCGCTTGGGACCAAGCCACAATTTCGCCGCATGCTGGTCCATAAGGTAGCGGGGTTGCACGTCGACTGCGTTGGTTCATGCCGGCGTCGCACATGGGACGATGATGTGCTGTTCATGCGAGACGAAGGCGGTTCAAGCACGGCTCATGTTGGCTTCTGGTGCGCTGCGAGTGGACGATGTCGAAGGCTTGCCAGACAGACTGCTGGGAACGGCGATGCCCCCCACTTATGAAGGTGACATCGAAGAAGTTAACGGTGGGCTGTTTCGTCGGCTCTAAGGACGCTCGTGCTTGAAATCGTTATGCATTGTTCATCACTAAAAGCTTCATCCAATAAAGCAGCAGATGTCATAGCTGTATGTTCTGTTATTATGATATATTGACACCAGGCGTGTGACTGTTCGCGATCCCGTCAACAGCGAACATGTGACGTCATGAAGCCGGACGAGTCCCTTCGTTCTGTCCGCGTCGAGCTGGCGAAGGCCGCAGAGGTGGCCGTTGAGTGACGCCTGATCTTATTGCTAGCAGATTCGTATGCAGCGGCAAGAACAGTCCCAAGTCGTGTTTCCAATGGTACCCAGTCTTTACTGCGTCTGTGGTCAAATGAGATTTATTGTATTAGAGTGATAAGCATCACTTCCGACCTCGGTCAACCAGTCAATGTTGAGCCTGGAGACCACATCAAATGTGTGCAGAAATGACTGCGACGCGGGGTCGGGACTGCGGCGTCTCAGGAGCGGCGTGGCCGCTGATCTTGGCGAGCCCGCTGTTGACCCGGGATCTCATTGGCTGTCGATTGCCGCCGGTGTGTAAATCACGTCCATGCCAACAGTTCCGGAGCTCGTAAGAGCGTTCCAGGTCTCCGGGGCCGCGCTTGTCAGATCATTTGTCAGCTGGCCGGCTTGGACGGCGTAGAAGACGCGAGGGAAGGCTCGTGTCTGCGCGGGATGTGCTTTAGGCAGGCTACAACAGCAGCTGATGCCACCGTTGCGATGCCACGTCTACCTGGCGTTTGATTTATCCTCTCATCGGCATCGCAAGAGGCGAGAATCAAACGCCGTAGGCCACCGCGGATCAGGACCAACGAATCCTTCACTCGGAACGTCCACGACCCAAGTCTGCCCTCTGGTGTCCACCAATCCGTTTTATAGCTGATGCCGGGAGCGTTCCTGGGCCCAGGCGTCACACCTGGACACGGGCGGGACGCCACCTGCCACTAGTCAACACACCTGGATGCGTTCTGCGACAGTGCCAGTCGTCACCTTCCCATCACGCATCATCACGCCACCACGTGACCCGAGGCTGATGGCCTGCCCCGTCCTGTACTCGCTGTGACAGTGTCGCCTCGAGCCCCAGGGGTCACGTAGGGTGGGCATGGAACACGCTTGCTCTGGCTTCTGCCTGCAGCGCCGTCTGCCACGAAGTTTTCTAATCTGGAAGGGCCCGGAACAGCGACTGGCGGCGTGAAGGCAGCAGTATTTGTCTGATACTTTTTTGTTGATGATGCTGTTGCTGCAGGTGCTGTCCTACACCCTGACAGTCTTGTACAAACCATCACATCTTTGGTGGTCCGCACCTGCTTGTCATGGACCATGGGCCACCTGCGATTATGACCTCAAACACCAAACATACGCTTATGTCTGCCATGGTCCATGGACACGACGCCCCTTCACTGTGCGGTCCGCCCTGTGTTCGAAGCCTCCCCATGATTTGAAGCTGCAGGCTCGTGTCGTGACACGGTCAATGGGATCGACTTGACCCATCAACCTGCAGACGGTCGTGGGGGAACCAGTACCAGAACGCATTAAGTCTATTCCGTGCAGCTGTGCTGCAAAATGCAACCGCATTGATCGCGCAAACCCAGGGTCGCACTCAGGCACAAATTACGGTGTGGTTAAGCGTGCACGATAAGCCCATTAAGCTCCCAGCCTCCAGAAACCCATTGAAATCAAGAAAAAAAAACGTTCAAACCATTTGATTGTGTTGCCTAAGCTACACTTCTCAACTTCGGGTCTATTTAGTTGAAACACTACAAATAGGCGAATTATGCCATCCGGAGAAAATGATACCAATCGTTGGAGCTCCAACAAGCCACTGTTTGGCATACTTCTTCGTGATTTTAACATTGCGCAGCTATGTCTACATCTGCCTTCATACTTAGTCAACGTCATGTCACGGTCGCCCGAACCAGCAATTCGGTAACAAACTGAAATCATTTGTGCGTCACCTTCAAGCGAAATGCGTCGGAAACGCCGTATCCTCTTTCTTACGTGCCCCATGCGCCGAGGCTTTGGCCCGCATTTCTCACACCTGATCCTGCCTTTTCCACTAAACGTCGCTCATCTCAGCGCCGACAGGTTGAACGCGACGTCCTGCGCACAACTTAAACCCGTGGCTTGCGCCGAGCGTCTGGCGCCCGAGGCCTCCACCCGCCACCCCCGCCCGGCCACGGCCAGTCTCGTGTTTCCTTGTGACGGCGCGTGGAGCTGGTGCCACTTGACGCTCTGGTCTGAACCGGCGTCCGGCGACTAATTTTATCCCGCTGCAGGGGCGGATCCAGCCGTCAAAAACGCGGCCGCCGGGGTCCACGGAAACTGCGCGCATGCGTACGACTTTCAGAACTGGGAATTGATCCAGGTTAACGAGCTTGCTTTCTCGGTGATTCCTCCCGAACAAAACTGCCCCGTCAGCGACACACGGTCCCCGAGCCCTCCGTCTTCGCCGCCCTGGCGTCGCCCCTTGTTGGCGACCGAGGCGCGTGCCATTGTGCCGGGGGCGCCGTCCTGGGCCGGGGTCCGCTGGCGGCGACCCGCACCCGTGCAGGTGGCGCGTGAGTTGCCGCCTCACTGCTGGCGGCGGCCGGGGCCTGGTTGCGTGGCGAGGAGCTTGTCCGCGAAACGGTGAGTAGGTAACAGCTGTCGCCTCGATAGACGTCTCGTTGTTTGTTGGGCCCGCCGGGGGACTGTTCTGATGACGGACCAGCTCGTGAAATTACTAGTGCCCCAAACGTGGTGGGCGCCGCAGAAAACCGTGCCATGAGTGCTTGCAGGGGAGAAACTTAAAGTAACTATTTCAACAAGAGCGTAGTCGACAGGTTTGAAAGTGTCAAGTAATGGGGGGTTAGTAAATCGTGCTTTTTTTCGGTAAGTAAAGGGCTGCGATCGCTGTTACACCACGTAGTTCGATCGGTTAAAAAACATTCGCTCGTAACCGCACATATTAGATGAGTCAACTTTTTTTACTACGGCAAATCTCGTTTAACAAGTTTTTCACGACGGCTCAAAAAATACGTTATAGAAACGCAACTGCTTGGCGCTGGAACCATGGCTTAGAGGGATGAGTACCTTAGCTTTCTGAAAAACTACCATCGGCCCTGTGGGTGTTGCTTGAAAAAGATAACCAAAAATGGCTATCGTGCCCCTTCCCTCAGTCTGTGAACACGCGATTGGTGCTCACCCAAGAGTGAAGCGGGCTCTGACGCGTTGTTCGCCGAAGCTGCCAATCAGACAGGCAGGTACACATCCCATCTGACGCTGGGACCACGAGTGTTTGGCAGTGCACCAGGTACGACACTACGATATTGGTGAAGTTAGTAGTCACCACGTCCGTGTCATCACGTGACCGACCGTGTCTCACGTGCCGTCTGGTTCCAGGCCAGAGCCGCGGCCCGAGGCGCAGCTCCCGACACGGTCCAAAGCGCACCGGCTTGCCTTCAGCCTGACTCTCAGCCCGCAGCGCAGCGGCTGCCGCCCACCCGCGGCCCCTCGCCGCGACCTGACAGTGGCGCCGGCACGGCCGTTGGAGCGCGTCTGCAGCACGCCCTCTGGCGGTGATGTCGTCCACGTGCGCCCGTTGCGGCGGCCCAGCCCAGCTGCGCTGCGCCGCCTGCTCGGTGCCCTACTACTGCACCCGACAGTGCCAGAGGGCTGACTGGCAACACCACCGCGCCGCGTGTCAGGCGCTGACGGTGCGTGAGGCGCCCTGGCGTCGGTCGCTTCACGGTGGCAGCGCGCAACCTCGCTGCCGGCCAGCTGCTGCTGAACGAGGCGCCTCTGGCCTCGGGTCCGCAGCTCGAGGCGGAGCCGCAGTGCCTCAGCTGCGGCCGGCTGCTGGAGGCGCGCGCCGCCGCCTGCGCGCGCTGCCGCTGGCCAATGTGCGGCGAGAGCTGCGCCGCCAGCGCCGCGCACGCCGCCGAGTGCGCTGTGCTGGCGCGCGACGCCGGCGACCGACCGAAAGCCGGATCGAAGCCGTCGGCGCGCTACGACTGCATCCTGCCGCTGCGGCTGCTGCTCCTGCGCGACCAGCCGCGCATCTGGGATAAGCTGACGCGGCTAGAGACGCATGTGGAGCAGCGGCGCGACACTGCGATCTACCGCGACAACCAGTGCCACGTGGTGGACTACCTGCGCCAGCGGTGCGCCGTCGACGCCGACGAGGAGCTGCTGCACAGGCTCTGCGGCGTGCTCGACGTCAATGCCTTTTCGCTGCGGCCGAAGCCTGGCTTCGGACGGCGCCGCGGCCTGTTCGCACGCACCTCGCTGCTAAACCACTCATGCGTCTCCAACACACAGCTGAGCCTGGACGGCGAGGTGATGCAGGTGCGCGCTTCATTGCCGATCCTGAGCGGCAACGAGGTCACGGCCGCCTACATCAGCGCATACGACCCGACCGCACGCCGCCATGACTTCCTCCGGAACGGCAAGTACTTCCAGTGCGGGTGCGAGCGCTGCCGCGACCCCAGCGAGCTGGAGACCCACTTCGGCAGCCACCGCTGCGGCAGCTGCCGCGAGCTGGTGATGTCCACGGACCCGCTGTCGCCGGACGCCGTCTGGCGCTGCTCCGGCTGCGGCCGCGAGCAGCCCGCCTCCGAGGTGCGCCAGCTGAACGCGCGCCTGCAGGCCGAGCGTCAGGGCCTGGCCGAGGGCAGCGTGCAGGATCTCGAAGATTTCATAGGGCGTCACGGCGAGTTCCCACTCCACCCCGGCAACTACCACGTCGTGGCAGTCAAGCAGATGCTCGCGCAGATGTACGGCAACGCGCCCGGTCACCAGCTGGAGCAGCTTTCGAACGGCCGGCTCGTCGCCAAGGAGAAGTTCTGCCGCCAGATGATCGCGCTGACGGTGGTCTTCGAGCCGGGCCTGTCGCGAATGCGCGGCCTCCTCCTGCTGCAGCTGCACCACGCCGTGGTGACGCTCGCGCAGCGCCGGTTCGCGGAGAGCAAGATATCACCTACCCGGCTGCTCGAGAGTCTCGAGGAGGGCGGCCGCTTCGTGGCGGAGGCGATCAGCCTGCTGCGCCACGAGCCCGCGTCGACGCCTGAGGGTGGAGCCATGATGCAGATGGCGCGCGACACGCTGCAGGGCTGCTTCGAGATGGCAGAACTGGTGCGCAGCTCCATCGGAAACTTTACGGCGGCGGGGTGAGGGGAGGACACTGCGGCAATGGCGGCATCAGCAGGACATGCGACGGCCGCTAGGCATAACGGGCAATCAATGCGCTAGCCCCCATCCTGATGCATGGTATCACTGGCGATCGTGATTGGTGCGCACGCACAGCCCTGGCCTGACTACCTCTGGTAACTTTTACGCAGATCACCGGTTCGGCGCATGCTCGTTTAATAAAGTTCTTGATGCGTCGACTAAGCGTATGCCATTGATGGGGATGAAACTACAACATGCGGTGGCATGTATGTCACTGATGGATTGCATGGCGGAGTCTTGGTTCAGAGGTGCGGTTTAACCCGCTCAATAAACGTGTCCTTTTGCTGCGAGGAGTTTTCTGGTTTGCGAGAGTAAGTTATACAGTTTTCTTAGATGTCAGAGGGCTCACAGCACTATCCGTTGCTAAGGTTGATATTGCTGAGGTTGTTTGTCCACATTCCTGGGCCATAGTCCACAGTACTGTAAATAATGGCATTGAATGCAGAACGAATGACGTTCTGATGATTGTTTCTTTGAATTCCTAACAACTGAACCAACCATACGAGGGCATCAATCTCCTTTTTAGGTGTAAACATTTGCCCGGATTTATTTAAGCGTGCTGGATAGATTCATACCTTCACCAATGCAATATCTGAGGTGACTTATTAAACACGCTAAATCACTCTTCCTTTTTTCATAAAATGGCATCAAAATATTTCACGACTATTGTATGCTGAAAATAGATGCTTGAAATAACCGTTTTGGTCTCTAACATCGGTACGGATAAATCCCAGGACCCAATGTCAGTCCGGATTTGCGGGTGACCTAACGTGATCCCATTCATCCTGACGTTACTGCGGTCGAGTCTCGCATTTAGTGCCTTTGTGCTTTTACTGCACAGACAGCAATCCAAGGATATAGGCAAGGTTGATGAAGGCTGTGAAGCTGAAAATGAGAATGACCGAAGAAAAAAAGTTAAGAATCAAAAGGTAGAAAAAGTGTTTTCTCAAATGACCCGGGAAAATGACGGCAGTTGACCTCCTCCCCCTCCCCCCAACAGCTGATCAAGTGTCAACAAAGCCGAACGGCCAAAACAAAGGCCGCGCGTCAACGCGGCAGAAACCGCCCGCTGTAGCTGGGATCTGCTGGAGCGGCAGTGCGTACTTGGCAACGGGAGGGGTGGGTGCTGTGAGCGTGTCTAGCGGTGGGTGAGTACATATGTTTTTCTCTTGTACTTACAGCGGAGAGGGGCTGAGGGTTGAAGTGCCCTATTCAGAGTTAAAAGGTTTGCTGGATAGGTGTCCTATGCATTTGCTTTGCCGACCGTGCAGGTGTCTACACAAAAAGCCGTTCTGCGTGCCGAGGTAGCCTAGCATTATTTTGGCGGGTCAGTTCTTAGCCAGCATGAAGAGGTCCACATGAATCAGAATGTGTCCATTACACGTGTAGTTTGGTCATGAACCATTGACATTTGACATTGACCATGTCAAGAGTCCTGATGCCTGTTGCTTTCACTCAGACGGTGTGTTTTTATTTACCTTCATGGCACATTCTAGATAAGCTTCACATGTATGAAATTGGTGTCTGGAAAAGCAGAATTAACTGTGACTACCTGATTGTACCATTCAAGTATGATGTGTACCTAGATGCAAAAATACCTTTTCTTCTTCTATTTGGTATATTTTTTCTGTACCATTCAAGTATGATGTGTAGCTAGATGCGAAGATGCCTTTTGTTCTTCTATTTGGTATGTTTTGTTCCGATTTTGGGTATTTTAATTGGGCATGCTCATGTTTGAAATGTTAGGTTCATGGATAATATCCCTCAAGAGTAAGATTAGTTATTTTACTGCTACTTGCCCCCTGGAGAACACACCTAAATGTGCCACATGTGACATAAATACCAATTTTATGACATAGCATTAGCATCAGTGCATATAATGATGCATAGAACATAAGAGGCACTAGGTGAAGTTAACACTCACTCAAACCTTTCAGCATGCTGCAACATCAGTGATAAAATATGACCATATCTTGGTTGAAGTAAGGCCAAGAGCACCTATTATCTGCTAGCCTTGTCCTAAAATTACTCCACTGAGCATGTTTTCTTGAAAGAAACCTGAGTGGAATCAATGAATAAATAAAACATCCAGTCTTAATATTGATCTATTTTTTATCACACTGCTTTCAGACAAGATGAAGACACCATATCTCATTCTATGCATATTTTTTCTTTGCTTGTCATTTTCTCTTGCCTTGAAAGATGAGGGTGAAGAAGATGTGAAGGCTGGCTCCACAAGACATCCTGTTATTCTTGGTAAGAATATGAGTGTGTGACCAAAAACTCATTAATTTGCATGTTATATCACTGCTGCCCATGACAGTTAATGCAGTGAAATATGCTCTCCACATGTGTTTCAGTAATTTTATGTTGACTTGTTTTATGTAGCTTTTATGTGATAATGCCTTCTCTATGTATCTGTTCTACTCCCATAGTTTTGTTTGGTATATAACCTGATGGCTGTGATAAGATGGGTAACTGCAGAGAGAACTATCCAACCCTTAGCTTTCTGTGCCTAGCCCTAGTGATATGTTCTGTTCTATGCTGAGCAGCCTTTTTAGGGATTATCAAATCAAACCCTCTGATATCCTATTGTTTCAGTTCCTGGTGATGGAGGCTCAAAGCTTATGGCCAAGCTTAACAAGTCAGCAGGACCCCACTACTGGTGCTATCAACACACCTCATCATACTACCTTCTGTGGCTTAATCTGGATGTGCTTGTCAGCAAGTTTATGGATTGCTTTGTAAGTAAATATTAACATGATATGGCCCTGAAACATTTGTTGGAACTGGGTGCAACTATTACAGGCTATCTGTTAAGATGCAGTATTACTTGTGGTACTAATCAGTGGCTCATGTGACATCTGTTTGGTGTGATGCCATTTTTCTATCATGTGCTGGTATAAGTTTAACCTCAGATAATCTTTCTGCAAATTCCCTGGTGTTATTTACTGGAAATTGCCACCTACATCTTGCAGTCATGTGGCAGCTGTGCCTCCACCAGTGGTTGAAAAATTAGGTGCTGGCCTAGGATCCTCTCAAAAGAACTTCTACCAGATGTATTTCTATATATTGTACATGCATCACTGTATGGACTATGTCCTTCTCTAACCAATGATGGACAGTTCAAATGCCTTCTCCCTTCTGCACCCCCCACCCCCACCGCCACCCCGCTCTGCACAATGCGTATGTCTTCCTTCATGTGCAGTCTCAGCAACGTCACCATTTGCGTGCTCAGATCGACAACATGCGCCTCCACTACAACCATACGGACCGGCGGACGTACAACACCCCAGGCGTGGATATAATGGTACCTGACTTTGGCACGACCAAAGCCATCGAGAACCTCAGCGACTGGAACTACTGGTTCGGCGGCTACACCAAGTACTTCTTCAACCTGGTTGACCTGCTAGTCAAGAATCTGAACTATACGCGGGGCCAGGACCTGTTCGGCGCCCCCTACGACTTCCGGAAGGCTCCGAGTGAGTGGGCGGGGAGAGGTGGACTGGGGGAGGCCCAAAGCCTGAGCATGCTGGGAGTGGCTCGGCACCGATGTCGGTGGGTGGGGCGTTTACAAAGTGTCCCTGTAAATCAGAAATATTTGATCGCACTTTGGTCAATTCAAAAGAGTTCTCAGTAACGCGAATGGAAGCTGGACGCGGTGTAATCTTGCTGCTGTCTCTCAAACATTCGCCCCGCGGCACTTGGGTTACCTCTTCCCTTACCCTCCTTTCTGACCCCTCCCCTCCCGGGCGGCGCTCCTGTGGCATGACGTCAGCACCATGTGACACGTCTGGACCGTGTTGCGCAAATCCTTGCTTATGTAATGGGCCGGGTGGCGCACGAGGCTCGGCCACTTGTCGCCGCCGTGGCTCGGCCGGCGGCGCAGTGTAGCTTCCGGTTCGTAGCAGTGTAGGTTCGTCCGTCTACCGACCATCGCCTCATATGATGTGCCAGCGCGGTTGCATGCGTCGACTCGGAACAGATGAACTGGCGGTCCTGAAGGTCGCGGGGTCTGCCCGTTCTGGTCAGCGGACCAAGCGTCGCTAATGTTTACAACGTGCGCAGGGGGCGTGCGCGCCCCACATTCTCGGGCCCGCGTATGGATGTTGGAGATGGTGTAAACACGCCGTAACGTCATGTGACGGTAATCTTCCCCATGAAGATACGGCACGTTTGGAAAGGCGTCTTCTTTAGGCCGACGACCACTTAATATGCTCCAATGAGCAAGCGCAATGCTGTACCCCAAATAGTAAAATCGGTAAGTACTGATTACAGGATCGCCACCAGAACTGTCTCTCACGAATCCTTGTCTTTGTGTCCTGTGTCAGCATCAAGATGGGGGGCGACCCCGTGCCACTCGACATGCCGTCCAGATGTGTCAGTGTCTAGTGTCCCTGGATGGGTGTCTCAGGGGGAGGGGCACCCGCGGTGACACGCCCCCGGCTCCAGCCAATGGCGCCCTCCCGGCAGTCACGCCACCCTGCCTCGTCTGGGCCGCCAGCGGGATGTCAGCCGCTGTTTGCGACCGATGCGGTGACGTCACGAGTGCTAAATGTGACGGCGGCAGGTTGTTTGTATGGAGACTTGTTGGCCATCGAGAAACACATAGGCGCCGCTTCGGGAAGCCGGCCTTAGAGTACGAAAATATGCTGGATTTGGAATGTGTAGTCCGGAGAAAGTCTGGAGAGAGTGAGGTATGGGTGAGGCGGCGGGGACGCTGAATAGTCTGGAGATAATTAACTACACGTACATTTATCCTGGCTGTTAGTATGACGAATATTGGCACTTCCGGTGCAAACCGTAATGCTCCATCGCGACGATATCTGCTTTCTCAAAAGATCTCGTGCAGTAAATTCTGCGCCGATGTTGCGTTCCTTTGAGATAAGATGTAGACCACAACGTGTTTCTAAATTGCCCCGAAAGTTTTCTCTATTATTGCACCAGCTAGTTGCATACGAGGGTAGGAAGACGTTAGCTGTATTTAATATGTACGGTTGACAGGGCCTAGCGTTAGGAGCGTATAGGCTTCCGCCCCGTTGCCAAACTACTTTCTCTTAACGCCCAAAACCCGAACGGTGCGTGTGATGATCAGAGATGAGTTTAATGTATTTGGATCAAGGCCTCGGGATGTCTTGGGCTCAGTAAGTAACTACGGTTCCACCAGTCGCTATCTGAGATGTTCATGTTTCATGTGATCGGGGGTATCAGATATTCTGACCCGATTGGCGCTGTGCGGACCGAATTGCGCACTGACGTGGTCGCGCGCGTGACGGCAGCTGAGTCATCTCTCGGGTGGCGGCGTCACATTTCGCCGTGTCGTGGCGGTTGTCGCCGCGAGATCTCCCTTCCGGGCGAAACCGCGCCACGGGATAGTGGATACCCATCGGTGCTCCGTGAATCTGTCAGCGGGTGGTAAATCGGGCTGGCCGGCTGCCGTGAGATTGGCTGGCTCTGGCAAACTGAGAAATTGGGGGATGTATAGGCGCCTGCGGGATGTTATTCTTGTTAGGATGAGCTGCTGGTATTGACAGGCCAGCAAACGTGTATATTGATTGAATGCACTCACCCATGGTTGAGCTTAGTGGCCGTTGCTCCAACAGCTGCGTTTCCTGTTATTTTTGGAGTGAACACATTTAGTTGGGCATTCCTGCTTTATGCTCTCGCATGGTTGGCATGGATTGACAAAATGTGTGATGAACACCTGAAGTCCAGATTGTTGGCGTGCACTGCTTAACCCTTACCGGCTAGCTCCTCAACTGTCAAGGCGACTAGCGCAACCCGATCGACTTTTGACCAGGAGCATGGCGAAATTTTTACTAAAGGGGGCAAATTGTTCTTATATTTTGTACAAAAATGAACCAATGTTGCGAATTCTTTCACCGAAATCATTGTGTCAACCGCCTCACACGATCATTTTTCCGCAGTCACCTACACACCCGCTCAAAACTTCACCTCACTCCACTTCACTTCACTTCACTTTACTTCACTTCACTTCACTTCTCTTCACTTCACTTCACTTCACCTCACCTCACCTCACCTCACCTCACCAGCCTCACCTCACCTCACCTCACCTCACCTCACCTCACCTCACCTCACCTCACCTCACCTCACCTCACCTCACCAGCCTCACCTCACCTCACCTCACCTCACCTCACCTCACCTCACCTGGCCTCCGTCTCTCCCACCCGCAGACGAGATGGACGTCTTCTTCTCGAACTTGACGCGGCTGGCGGAGCAGGCGTACTACGCCAACAACAACACGCGCGTGGTGCTGGTGTCGCACAGCTACGGCTGCGTGCTCACCCTGCACTGGCTGCACCGGCGGACGGAAGCCTGGAAGGCCAAGTTCATCGAGCACTTCGTGTCGCTGGCCGGGCCGTACGCCGGCACGGCGCTCTCGTACGAGGTGTACGCCGCAGGTACGCTGGAGAGGGGGGGGGGGGGGGAGCGCGGTCGCGACAAGGAGCTGTGCTGTGAGCGCGAGGAAGCTCGAGTCTAGGGGAGTTCAGGTCTAGGCCATCACGCGTCACGTCAAGGGAATGCTCTCTTATGACGTTTTATGGCCTATGACCGGCGGAGCATTGTGGACGCTCCATTTTGGTTTTTTGAATCGTGCCATGTGTCCAACCGTGTCGTATTTACTTAAAACGGTATATGCGTGGTGAATTGCCTAAAGTGCCCGAAAGAGTCATTGTGCGTTCGAAACTGTGCGTCACGTTTTTTCTGGCAATGTGTGCAATGGTAGAGCCCTACGCAATCCAGACATTTGTGCTTCTTCGGTGCTCCTGTGTCATCTTGAAGTTGCACATGCCAGACCGTAAATGCAGCTTGTATTTACGAAAGGCACCTCGGTCACCGGTGTGTCCTCAAGCTCCACTCGTCGCAACACGAAATGCGTGAAAAAAAACAGAACGGGCTCAGGGGTCTTCCCAAGCATCGATATTTTTTTTATTTTTTTGTCCGCGACCTCACTGGACCATTTGTGTAAAGGATCACGTCGTGTCGCTACGTGGAAGACGCCGCTTATCATTTTTACTATGTTCGCAACGCGGGAACGACCGCCTACGAAGCGTGTTGACGTTGGCGATAGCCAAGGCTGACGATCCACGAGATAACCCCAGAGCTGTTATCTGCTCCGCGCGACGCAGCGGGCGGTTACGGGCAGATCTCGGTGGACCCTGCCTTGGGACCCGCGCGGGGAGTCCCCCGGTACATGTGAACAGCAGGGGAGCGGGTGGGGTAGGGTTTATTTCTGTGTAAGTGGACCCTGCCGTCGGACCCGCGCGCGGAGTCATCTGATAGACGTGAACAGCAGGGGTCAGGGACTCGCCTACGTGGTGTTATGGTCGACGAACCGACATCCGGTTTGTTGGAAGGAGATCCGGTGCTCGCCGCCCGTGGTGCTCGCGGCGCGTTCCAAGCGTGTCTGGGTGGGACGGGTCTGTCCATCGGCTCTGTCCACCGGGAGAGGGATGACCCGACCCACTGTCTCACACCCGCCGTTTCCAGCCCGTGTTTGGAACGCGACTGGACTGGGCGAGAGGGAGGCTGGTTGGCGCGCTGAGCCGTGGGTGAGTGACCCGCGGCGTGCCCCCAGGCTACAACCTGGACGTGTGGGAGCTGGACGGCAAGCGTCTGCGCTCAGAGCAGCGCACCAGCCCCAGTCTGGCCTTCCTCTCGCCCAACCCGCTCGCCTGGGCCAAGGACAGGGTGTTCCTCACCACGCCCGCCGCCAACTATACTGTCGATAACGTGCAGCAGTTCTTCAGGTGGGTGATACCATGAGCAGCGTGGAAGTATTCTTCAGGTGGGGGCCTCTCGGCGTGCGGGTTCCAAGTTCACGTGACGGTGGTGATGACAGATTTGTTGGAGTTGGTAAGCTTATGTTTGATGTGGTTGGGTGTGACAGGCTTGTTCTCTCCACCTCCGAGCTATGAAGCTGATAGTACCGAATGTATTGGGTAGTCTTATAAGTATTGTATTTATAAGTATTGTATTGTGTAAGGAACATCGATGTCGTCACTAACCGAACGGTTTCTCGATCGTTCTAAATTTTGCCTTGTGTTTGGACGCCTGCTTTGGGCAAATGGTGCTGCTCCCACCACCACTGGGGTTTGAGTGAGGTATCCTTTGTGTTTCGTTTGTCGGGGCAGTCGCATCTGACGTGACATCATGTCCCGCAGAGACATCAACTTCACGGACGGCTGGGAGATGCGCAAGGACACGATGAACCTGCTGGACATTTCCAAGCCTCCAGGCGTCAGCATGTACTGCGTGTACGGGAACGGGACGGCCACGACTGAAACGTAGGTCGTTTGCGATGAGTTTGTTCTAGCCGTCTGTCTAAGCTGTGAGTGAACAGTTGACAGCGGACGTGAAAGTCACGTGTGTTCCAAGGCGCCGAGATGTTCTTGTCTTGGTGATTAACATTGCTGGCATTCTGGTTGCGTCTTACTCTGTGTGGGTGGCCTATGAGGCCGTGTGGAAATAGGGAGCCATGTTTATGTGCGGGTTCTGAGTGTGGTGCTTGCCATTAACGTGTGCTGCTGATCGATGTCAGACTGGACCGTTCCCTGTTGTTGCCAGTCCCGTTAAGATGTTATGCATCTCACGTTACTCTCACCCGTTTGCCTTTCTGTGCCAATCCGTTCCGAACGTTGTCCTCACCCCTCAGGACCCTATCCACCCTTCTCCCTTCAGAGTGAATGACCGAGGCGTTGAACATCTGCGTCTTGGCCACAAAACTCACGACTGATTTGTGGCGCATGGTTGTCTCACGATCTTGAACCGTCCTCCAGCCCCGCCCAGACTTTGTACTTCCACGCTGCGTGCGCCGCTTCGTCACCAGCCCCGTAATGCCGCGCGTCGGCCCGCGGTTAACGCTCGCCGTCCGGCGGCAGGGTGGTGTACAAGGACTTAAAGAGCTTCCCGGACACCCCCGACCACGTGGTGCGCGGCGCCGGCGACGGCACGGTAAACCTGCACAGCCTGCGCTGGTGCGAGAGCTGGCGCGGCCGCCAGCCGCAGCCGCTCGTCAGCCGCCTCTACCCGCACGCCGACCACATGGGCCTCGTCACCAACTACACGATAGCGGAGGACCTCGTGAAGTACGTGGCGGAGATCAACGTCGGCAGGGAGGCCAACCGGCTCTGACGAGACGCGGAGGGGCTGGCGGACGAGTGGAGTGCCCGGGGGACCGGTGGAGTCGGGTGGAGGGGGTGTCGGACGGGCTGGCATCAGGTCAGTGCCGGTGTGAGGTGGGTGTAGACTGCTCCAAGCGGACTGGGGCAGCTGGTCCGAAAGTGGTAAAGCCGTCAGTCAGGCTAGGCTGCTGAGCACGAAGTGAGATGTCCGGTTAGGCGGTTAGGGACTGTGTGAGGCGGCAGGGTATGTTGTATACAAACTGGCTCGGTCACGACTCCAGCACGAAAGGTGTGAACGCGAGGAGCAGAGGCGTCTGGCCGGGTTGGGTCTGCGACGGCACCCGCCATGGAGAGGGGTCACCGAACCTGCTGTTGCGGGCTCTGTCCGTCAGAGGTGAGCTTTTGGGGAAGACGGCGGAGGGGGTGTCGCCGCGGTCACGTGGGATTGGTGCGAGGGACCGAACTGCCTCTGCTCGAGTCCACCCGGGCCCCCCAGCTGGCGCGAGATTGATCCTGGTCGCGAATAACTCACCACGTGTTCGAACTCGGAGGGGCTTTGAGACTAAGCCAAGGGAAGGACTTCTCATTCACTGGTATCCATGCACAAGGAAGGTTTGGTCGGTCCTGGACGGGGCCAAAATGCTGGGCTGTTCGAAGGCATTGACACGGCCCCTGCGTTTCGCGTCGTTCTACCTGAGAGCGGCGGGCTTAGTCTGGTGTTCGTGCAGCCTTTTTAGTGCACTGCTAGCTAGGATACGATGCGTTTGGGAATGCACCTACTTTGTACGTAGCGTAATAATGTGTGCAACAAGGAATAATACTGTGTGCAACAGGGCTACGTGCAGTCCCATGGTCAGTGTTGGTGGTGTATTGGTGGAGAGGGCTGATATATAATGCATGCGTCACATCACCGGTCCCATATATGTTTCATTTGTACACGGGTTTTCGTTGGGTCTGCGAGAAGAATAGTGCAGTTCATATTTGGCACTTCGCTGCTCATTATTTTATCCAATGACAGTCTTATACCAGTCGTTTAGGTTGCGCTTGCCTTTTTGCATGGGCTAAACGCATCTGGGTGCCATAACATCACAGTTGGCATCTATCACATCTGCCAAAACAGGGAACGCAGTCGTCGCTGTTGCTGCGTAGTTGGGTTACCTGTTGTTTCATCTCTTCAAGACCCTCCCAGCTGGCGTACCTCGGTTTTGCTGGATCCATGTGTTAGTTGGTGCCTTTTACGTCGCTGTAAATATGACCCAAATCAAACTAGCATTGCTTACCCATGCAGCTTCTATTTAAGTTTGTAACTTAGTTCCCAGGAAAGAACATATCAGGTCTAGATTCTCTGCAAGCCTTGGACAGGAGGAGAGCGGGTTCCTCGCGAGTCATGCTTGAGAACTGATGGGCTTTTTAATCTAAGTGGACTCGCGGAATCCAACGTCAACTCTGACAGAACGGTGCATGCTCTGTCAGTGCATATGTCAACTCATTAACTTTTGAATTACTACAGTCCATTAGCATCCCCTGACATGTGTTATGTTCATCAATGTATCTGCAAGCGTGTTTTTATCTGAGTGGCCATCGAGCCCGGTCCTCCTAGCGTTCGAGCAGCGACGGGAGAGGAGGATGCCAGTGAGATTGTCACGTGCAGCCTCCTGGAGGAATGGCTCTGAAAACATCGATGACTTGTCGCTGAAGCACGCGTATCTAAATGTCCGATCAGCGGCGGCTTTTGCATGTGTCTTGCCAATCTCGCTACCACAGACTGCCGAGCGTGAATGACTGGATCGAATCGTCGGCCTTCGGGCTGACAGCTCGCTGCCGTCGCACCATATGCTAACGGGTCGTGTCAAACGAGGCATTGTAAGCGCTGTCGGTCCACTCGACAATCAGTGCTGTCGCCTGGTGGACGGGGAGTTTGTCCGATGTGTGGAAGCCCGCCACATGGCTGCCGTGCGAACGCGTGCACCCCAAGATTGCGTGGTTCTCGCGGTGGGGCGAGCGGCTTGACTCTGGGCAACACTAGCGCCGCCTAGCGAGTCGCCGGGCGTCTGCTTGTCAGCTGACTGCGCGCTGTTGCGGCCGCGCAGGCTGCCGCGTGCTCCACTGGAAAGACATCGGCCCTGCCTGTCCGCTGTCAGCTCGTGCGTGACAGAGCGGATAGGTGTGGCCAGCCTGTACTCGTGAAGTGTGCAGTGTCCAATGCTCGAGGTCTTGGTGTCTTTCAAGCGCATGTGAATACAGCGGTGACATGCGGGTTTCCTTCGTTCCGAGAAATGGCCGAAGGCAGGCAGGTGGAGAATACTCGGATTAGGTCATGGGTTGTGAATGCCGTAGTCAACACGACGTCTGATGACAGCAGCAGGTCTGAGTGGCCATTAGCGTAAAGACGGTGGCTGACGGAACTGAATCATCACTGCATTTCATAAGTGAGTTTCGCTCGCTAGTGGACAGGGCATTTATTGACTTACCTCCGCGAGGCACACCAGACGCTCTACGGCTTGACCGAAGCTCCGAATGGGAGCATATCTGTCATACGTAAATATGGATCCCACCGAGGACGGCAATGGGAAGCGGCGGCTGCGGTGGTGATCCAGCGGCGGCTGCGGTGGTGATCCAGCGGCGGCTGCGGTGGTGATCCAGCGGCGGCTGCGATGGTGATCCAGCGGCGGCTGCGGTGGTGATCCAGCGGCGGCTGCGGTGGCGATCCAGCGGCGGCTGCGGTGGTGATCCAGCGGCGGCTGCGGTGGCGATCCTTCCGCATTTGGAGACGTGACCAGCTGTCAAGCAGAAATCACTTGGGGCGAACCTACGGAGGCTGCTTCAGCAGCTCGATGTTGCCTGCCAAAGTTTCAGTCACAACCAGGCACGATGATCAGGGGCGCTGTGGTGAAGACTGAACCTGCCGTGCGTTTGAATGAATGAACTGATATGAATGAGTGAACCGACAGTCCGGGACGGGCTTGGCGGTGGCGGGAGAGAAAAGTTAGCGGTTTTTTCATCATGTTACGATTACGAACGATAAGATGGACTGGCCCGTAGGTCATACCGATATTCTAAGCTTCTGGTCCATCGTCAGTCAGTGATCTTCCATTATCAGAAACTGCCTTGGGTCACATATCTTATGTGAGCGGATCAAGGTGTACCGCGGGTCTCCCAGAGCGTGGTAAGCCCACGCGCCCGCCCCACCCACTTCAAACTCCCGCACCTACCTACACACATTTGACTCGGAAAAACTGCTGTTGTCATCAGCTGTTAAAAGCTCGTGAATCTCACACGCATCTTGTTCTGCAGTGTCATGCACATCATGACTGAACGCCGCAAACCAACGTTGAAACAAAAGCAACATCGGTCGTTATGTAAAATAGGAAAAAAGAGCTAAATGGTGCTGTATCTCTTAAACTAAGCAAGATACCACTTTAAAATATTCTGTGTGGAGTGAAAAGGATTGAATTGTAACTTAAATTTCAGAAGCTCGTGCTGCTCTCGTCTCATCGCTTTTTCACAACAATGAAACGATGCTTCCTGTTTGAATGCACATTGTATTTCCAGGTGATACTGAAACGCAATCGCCATCTTTCAAGCGCTTCTAGTGGCATTTAGTCACCTACAACCAAAGCTTCGAAGACCTGATCTGTTCTGATCCCATGGCATGGGTTGGTGCCTCTTCAGGTCCGCTGGCCTCACCTGTAGCTCGCGAGCCATGTGTGAACAACGTCACTTTCCTCGAACATTCATTTTTTGACGCTGTTCAGCCTTGGCGTGAATGCACTCCGAAAGCCAAATAATGGTCTCCATCAGGTCATGTCTTGTTCTGGACCATCGCCATGATTCGACGCCAGGAAAAGCAAGCTTATGTTCAGGGCGGGGCAAGCTGCTGCTCGGGAGAGAGAGGGAAGGGGGGGGGGGGACAGGACTGTTGAAAAGAGAAGCCAACACTTCTCACAACAGAAACATCACTGACGCATGGAAGTCAATTAGTACGCATGTTGGAACGCATGGCTGCGAGGGGAAATAACCACAACCTCACTGGTGCAGTCCCTAACGCCCATCTCGAATCTGGATAGATTTGTTGTTGTCTGTTCCGTGGCCGATTGTGCACATCTGACAAATCACTCACAAATGTGTGTTGTCAGTGCTGCTTGTTGACTGGGGGTTAGAGATATGACAGGAACGGAACGATGGCTTGGTTAGGTTTTGAAGAGATGTTCCATTTCGCGACTATGTCATTATACAATACGCTTGTTGCGCGTCCTCGGCTATTTTAGGTCAATGTTTGCTTCGGTGTCATACCAAATGACTCATCGGACCTTGCAGCTTCCCGTCCCAACAAACACAAGGGAAAATGAAGGTGCGCTCAGGCAAAACGTAAATGCTCTCAGCCAGAGCTTAGGGCTTTCAGGACTGTCTTTCCTTCGTCATTGGTAGACCCTCGACCCTCAGCCGTGGTCCTGCTCCAGGATACGCCTCGCTCCCGCTCGCAGCTGAGAGTTCCATCTTCAGGAGCTGATTCCGTGAGACGTGAGCTCCCGAAGCGCGATCAGCCCTCCTCGCAAGCCTCCTCTCCATTTCCCCGACGCCTTCCGCGCAGAGAACGCCTGTCCCCCCCCCCCCCCCCCGTCGCCAAGCCCAGTCAAAGCCCAGCATCGGCGCCGGTGCTGCCGGTCTGCCGGGTCGGAGCGGCGGGCGGCAGCGGCGGGCCGCTAGAGCGGTTTGGCACTGGCCGCTCGGATTCCTTGGCCGTGGCGTTCTTGGCACGGCCGCCACCGGCCGGCGCCGAGCGGCTGGGCCCGGCCGGCAGTGACCCAGCCCGGCGGCGGGGACGGCAGCCCCATGGTGAGTCTGCAGTGAACGGAGAACGACCAGTGAATGGCCCATGGTGAGTCAGTTGGCAGTGAACGGCGACTGCAGCGCCATTGTGAGTCTATAGTGAAGAGAGTTAACTGATCCACGGTGAGTCAGCAGCGAACGGAGATGGCGCTACCTGACGGGCCAGCAGTGATCACAGACGGTGTCGTATGGTGAGTTTGCAGTGATCTGCGTTCCATGGTAAGTCTGAAGCGACCAGAGGTGACTTCCTATGGTATTCCTATGGCATGGTGACTTCCATGGTAAGTCTGCAGCGATCAGGGACGGGGTTCTATGGTACGTGCAGAGGTCAGAGACGGTGCCCTGTGGCAAGTCCGCAGCGATCAGAGACGACGTTCCATGGTAAGTCTGCAGTGATCAGAGACGTCCTGTAAGTCTGCAGCTATCAGAGACGGCGTCCCATGGTAGGCTTGCGGTGATCAGAGACGGCATCCAGTGATCGTATGGTAAGTCTGCGGTGATCAGAGGCGACGCCCTGAGTTAAGTCCGCAGTGATCACATACGGCGTCCTATGGTTCGTCTGCAGTGGTCGGAGGCGACGTCCTATGGTAAGTGTGCAGTGGTCAAAGACGGCTTCCGATTATAAGCCTGCAGCGATCGGAGATGGCGTCCTATGGTAAGTCTGCAATGATCAAATCGACGGCGGCTCATAGTAAGTCTGCACCCCGGCAATAGACCTTGTGACATAAGAATGCACTGTGGCCCAGCACGGTCATGGAGACAAAGGTCTCATGGTGAGCCTGCAGTGCCCAGTGACCCAGCATGTCGATGGAGACGGCAGCCTCGTGTTGGGCCTGCCGGGACACAGGACGAGTTTTCACCAGCTCCACCAGCTGTGGAGCCCCCAGTGACCCAGCATGCCGGCGGAGACGGCAGCCTCGTGTTGGGCCCGCCGGGACGCAGGACGAGTTTTCACCAGCTCCACCAGCTGTGGAGCCAGATGAATACCCGGTCGTCTGGCCACCGGCGCCCACGTCTGGTCACATGTTTGGGCTGCAATCCCTCGGCAGGCGTGACTCGTGACTCATGTTGGACGCCGAGGGCAGGGTAGTGACCCGAGAGTATCTCCGAGATGACGTATGACCCTTGACACGTTCGGGTTCGAGCCTCACGAAGGACATTCGTGGCCCCCTCGATACAGTACAAATCAAAGGCTAAAACAACTATGTTTAGTAGAATGTGATCAGTGTTCTTATTTTCTGAACGATTTTGCCACTTCATTTCATGGCTGATGTGGACCATGGGGTTCGGCTTCTTCGCAAGCCTTGATCCACACTACCATGATGATCACAAATTGCATGCATCAGTGCGATATACTGAATGGTGGCTGCTGACGAATGATAAGCTCTCGCAATGCAGGTAAGGATTATATTTTTGTTTACTTATGCATTTAAATCGCGTGCACTGCCTTCGAAGGATCATCTTTTGTCATCGCTGCCACCCGGACGAACACTTGGTCACCAGACCCTCGGCCAGACATCTTCCCCCACCGCGGAGCGATGAGTCAGCACGTTTGACCCAGTTGCCCGGCGCCAGGCACGTGCCCCAGCCACGTGCTCCTCGGCTGCAATGAGCCGGCACGTCGCAGGGTTTCGTCTGCCTTCACCACCCCACCACCACGAGCGTATGATGAGCGCGATGAGCACCGGCTGTGACGGATGCCCAGCTAGGATCTGCAGCAGTCACGACCGCGACCCCGAGGGACAGACGCCGGCCGGGCCGACGGCCGATGTGTCGGGGTGTCCCTCCTGAAATAGTGGCCGACGCTGTTTGCGTTGGCATTGGCCGGTGGCCGCGGCGCCGGCAGGTTCGGACGGACAGAGCGGCTGGCGCTCGGGACTGACGACGTAGGCCAGACTTTGACAGCGGCCTCGTGCGGCAGCTGATCAGCATAAAAGGGAAGAGGGTTTTTCAAACTGGGAAAAAATCGAACCCTGTTTTTCACAATTAACTCGCAGTGTTTACTGTAGACTTTTTCATTTTAAGATATCTTTTTTGTATTGTTGACAAAATTGCGTTTACTATTTCTCAGTTAATTAAGTTCACAAGGTTACTGCTGTGGCTTCTCGTGCCAGTGTTTATATATATATATATATATATATATATATATATATATATGTGTATATATGTATGTATGTATATATATTTATATATGCTATTTTCACACCTATCTGGTTAACTTTAGCGGCGTGATTTCAATATTTGGGCTAAACACTCGATCAGGTGGATGCTTGAGACTATTTTACGCGTCAGTTTGCCGCTGATTTGCGCTTGAATTTGTGCAGAAGGTTTTCAGAAATTAACGGTTGCACCCCCGTCCTAGAAAATTTCCTTGTCTGCAACAATGCATCGCGCACATACACCTGGCGCCGATCTGTCTGTCCCGGGCAGCTCGATGACGAAGTGGTCAGACTCGTTTAGCACATCAGGCAGTATGAGGAAGCAAAGGATGCAAAAAATGATTGAACGCTGATCCAAATGCGCCGCTGCGCCGACGCGGGCTGCAGGCCCCGCCCGGGGGACACTGTTCTTCTGAACGTCATAGCACCGAAGCATGGCCTGGTAGAATGTGTATTTCGACAAAACTAAACTGATACGGTGATGCTGTCTGGGCACTCATTGGTTTGGTCCGGAACGTTTGTTTTCGTTGCCTGAAATTGCAACAATTCGATGGACATGATTGGTAAGGTATGCATCCATATCCATATCTGGTCATATGGATATGGCTTGGTGAGAATAATCATGCATACATTATACACGGTGTTCGGTAAAGGCGAGACCACATTAAATGAATGTTAACAACTTGAAATAATAAAATATTGAGAAATTCATATTGCTATTTCAGAAAAACACCAATCGATTTCGACAGTCCATTTCTATAGGTTATATATCTATTAACAAAGCCCGTTATGCACACGGCATAAAGAAAAAGAAGCAGGCCTTTTCATCAAATTTTTGCCGCTCTCTATGACCGCTGACTTATCCCATAGATATATACAAACTCTTAAATCGCGTTGAAGGACCTTTAGTAATGTAGATCAAGGCGAAACACACATCGTTACTTCGCATATCCCCGAGCGCGTTCGTAACAGCCGCCTGCGCCGTCGTCTTCATGTGACCCAGGACGCGTGACCTTGACCTCGTAACTTGACCCGGCGACCCGGCGGCAGGACGACCACCTGAGGCGGCTCCAGATGACCCAGGGCCGTGCCCAGGGGGGCCGCCTGCGGCCCTCTCAGGTCATCGGCAACAGGAGCATGCCGCAGTGGGTGTCTAGGACATTTGTGAGTAGATGGGAGGGCGTGTTGTGCGGTGGGGCGCGGCTTCGGCTTGTCCTCGGACCAAATAAACGGCGTTATTAACATTTTGGAGCTGGTGCGTTTTTTCCAAAGAGATTTGCGTCTCGAAAACCCGGCTTTTCCTAACAATTCTTCCTTTTTGTGGCGAAGTGGCTGGTACCGGCTCGTTACCCGCTGCTTATGTAGTCGTGGTCAACCAACAAAGGCTAACCTATTTCATCGTAAACATTGCACGGAAATGGAAATGGTGTGACAGGAACTAAACACAATGTAAATAGTGAACTGCTGCAAGTCCAAAATGTTTGGGATGCCAATGATGAGCCTGTCGAGCCCGATATGGATGGACAGAGCTTCACAATTTGGCTGCAGGTCCTGTTAAGGTTAAGGTGTTCGCTTAACAACGAGGGCAGACGTTACCAAGAGTGGCTCTCAGTTTTGCATTGAATGCAAAAAGACCGTTACTGCCGCAGCACCTAAAACCGTAGGGGACACATATCCTTTGTACATATCATGGCCAGGCACACCAAAACGAAACCCGTCACGCCATTTTGTCAGGGAGCTGTAGTCTGTCGAACAAAAAGTTGCCAAAAGCGTTCAGCTATCGCCAGCACACCAGGGCTGCCCGAGAAACGGTTAGCCTGTGATGCAAGATGTCTCGCATCACATAAACGTTCGCCGTTACGCTAGCCAGTACAAAGGTGGCCGGGTCTGAGATCTGAGACGCACGCCATCAGGTTGTTCGTGGCTTACACTACGTCCAAGTCTGAATAAATTCCCAGGTACTTCAAGGCTGAAGTGACTAGGGCTAGGGTGTCCACCCCCACGCATTAACAGCCGCGCCAAATCGTGAAATGCACCGAGACTGCGGCATACCCTGTGTGTGCAATCACTTTGTATGCGATCGTTTTGCTTTGGCTGCACAGAATATACCTAATGTCTCTTGCTGTTCCGTGGCCTTAGCTGTGTTTTATGACAAGAGGATGCACTCACTACATGTATGCAATAGGTCGATGGCTTCTGAAACTATTTGAACCTTCCGGTAATCAGATAATTTTGTTTTGTTACATGACCTTTTCACTTTGGCGCAATTCTAAGGCACTTTGACAATTGCTTACTTCCGTCCGTCTGCCTGTCTGTCCCCATTTTAAACAGACACGCAGCACAGACGACATACGGATTGCGGCGAAATTTTCCACACCACGCGTCTAGTCTAGGGTTAGTCTTTGTGACGAACCACGGCATAAATTCATACCCTTGTTACACCTGTGCTGCTGTCGGCCATGACGCGGGCGGGAACCGTATGTGTAGTTATTTAGGAATGAGACACTTTGCCATATACCTGGCAGATGCCTTGTCTCTGACGTCTTGTAATATATCCAGGAAAAGATGCCCAAAGGCCAAACTACTGGAAGTGCTGGCAACGATGGCTCAAGATCACCATTTACACGAGAGTGTTGGTTCACACAGGTGAAACTAATGATTAAACGTTCCGAGTGCGTCTACAAACTTTGTATAGGTTGTAGATCCGATTGATTCTTGGGTGCCGCGCAAGTTAAAAATGGCAACCGGCATACGTTTTACACCAACGAGACGCATGTTAACATTGGGACGCTGGGTGCAACGCTATCGAAACGATAATGTTACGTCTGCGCGCAGCAGAGCAATCGGGGGCCACTTGTCGAACGTTTGGTCTGTGAGCGATTGAAGTGTGCTTTCCCTCTTGGGCAAAATTGGTTCTCTTGAGTTCCCCAAAGGATTGATTTGCATTTAGGTGAGATGAAAAGCTAAACTGATCGTTTGGATTATTTGGATTTTGTGGAACAAAAATGGAACATCTGCAGGGTCAAATTTGTGGCGTGTCTTATAGATTTAGGCATGAAAGGGTGCGGAGTTTTCTCTTTTTGCCTGGCATCCGGAGCCAATGGCGTTTGCTAAGCGTGAATCAAGGAAAGCATGATACATTTATGAAATCAGCGCATTGCTTATACCGACCTCGCAGCAATACGGTGCGTCATGTTATGCCAGCACCACAGGTGCGTTACGTCAACTGCGTGGAGTTACGGTAACCATAACAACCGATGTGAGTTTTGCTGCCTCAGCATGGTAACACGATCGTGCTGGCCACGCTTCGATGGATGTGTGAGATATTATATAGTATATATAGTCTGGAAGATATTTTACAACGCTTGCTCACGTGACTCGCGATGGGTTGCGATTCTGTGCGCGCGCCTGGCGGTTGCCTATCTCGTTCAAGTGCGCAAACGAAATGTCTCACAGTTCTCTTCCAAACGATTTCAAGTTGTACTCTGATGTGCTCAACTGCTCATCCCGCCGGCTACCGACATGCGCCGCTCCTCTCCCGCGACTTCACCCAGCCTCTCAAGCAAACCGTCGAACCACACCCCGCCCAGCGGCGGTCCGTTCGCAATGGAAGCACCGCTGGCTCGCCTGCAGGGGCGCGTCACGCGTTAAAATAAACGGTTCTGAAAATTCGCACGGCGCGTTCCCGTCGGTGGCGCCCGCCCGAGTGAGCGGAGGTAGGCGCCGGAGGCGGCTGCAGCGCGCGCCCGTCCATGTGATCTTTGACCCCTGGCTGTCGGAGGGGGACACATAGGCACCAGTCGCCGCAGAAGTCTACGCGGTATCATCAAAGGTATCGTTTGAGTTGGTTGTTTGTTTTGTGAACCCGATCGCATGCGGTGGTGGCCATTTCCAGGAAGCGTTGCTCAGCCTGCGGTAATGCGTTATGAAAGCGCAAGTCCAATATGTCTGAGGTAATTCACAGAAGATGGTGCAGTGATGGCCGTGTTTATGCGACGTCTAGACGTGTACAAGTACTCGGAAGAGCAACATCTCAAACGTGTCGCTGGGGGCGTTCACGCCCATACGTAAAGGTCTTGGAGGTTTTCAGTAGTGGCTCGGTGTCAGAAGGGCGCAAATTTGAGTTACATGACAACATTTTCAGAAGCATCACGGTGCGTGATTGTTAGATGCCATTATTGCTGAGGGAGTAGCCACAGTTGTCTGGGCTGTGTTCATGGTCTCTTCGCATAAATACCTGCAGCATTCGGACAGAAGTTTACACGATGGTTATCTGGTCTACTTTCGGTCTAAATGGCTAAATATCCAATGCCCATATAGACTGAGGTGACCTATGAGGTTTTTTACGTCCAGTGTAATTTACACGGCAACTATCACCACCTGGCTTCCTTACACTCCTGTTTATTGTGATAATCTATTTACTTGAAAAAATCGTTGCTGGAGAGACCGATGTCAGAGAGCGATTGCAAACGCCTTGAAGCTGTGCTTGCAATCATCAGAGCCGTCCAAGACTCCAGACCCATTCAGTCACCTGCAACTCACTTTAGCTGAAACGCACGTCAATCGCTCGTCATCCTCATTGTTAGTCAGCCATCAGCTTGTTGATGCATCACCCGCCTGCAAAACAGGCGGGCGCATGTCGATTTGACTCCGGGACTGGCGCACTTCCAACCGGTAACAATACGCCATGACGTCAAAACGGCCACCTCGCCAAATAGGCCAGCGTGCGGTCATAGGTCCTCGGGGCGCAGCGGCCCAGCGGAACAGCCCCGGCGCGCGCGTGTAAGAGGAAAACTGCTGTCGCTGCACGGCAGCTGTGCTGTGCGATCACCGAGAACACACCCCGTGATCACAGGCGGATCCAGGGGGGGGGGGGGTGCAGTGCTCCCTTCAGCAAACGCTTCACCAAACATGTTTGACTTGGTCTGAAAACAGCGCCTTCAAGCAAGGGCGATCTGACCAGCACCCTAACGCCGTGCCGCTGGGACCGCCCGTGCCCGAGCTCCGCCCCGGATGGCACGGCAGCCCTCTCTTCCATCACATCCGCCGTCGCGTCGCGCTATTTCCGTCCCATTCACACGGCCAAATATTTGATGGCGCCCGTCTGTTGATATCAGCTGAGGGCGCGCGCCGACAGGTTGCCCACTTCGCGTCGCCTCGAGGCGCGCTGTGCTGACCTCTGACCCGTGGCATTTGGCCTTTTGCAGGTGCATCCTTCGGCGGTGCCGCCGCCGCCGCCGCCCGTGGCCACCCCGCGGCGGGCCGAGAACGACTACGAAGAGATCGGACCGCCGGCTCGGCGTCCGCCGACCCAGCAGGTCATGAATCCGACCGCCCGACAGCCGGCGAGGCCAGGTCAGTCTGTGCACAGCGGTCCTGCCGACCGTGACCCCGGTAACCAGGCACAGGGGACCAGGTCACCTTGCGCACAGCGGGCCTTCCGACCGTGACTCCGGCAACCGGGCACAGAGGATCAGGTCAGACTGTGCACAGCGGATCCAGCAGGGCATGCATCGCGATGCCCGGCGTTCGGGGCTAGGTCAGTTCGGACCCAGCGGCGCGACAGGTGATGGATCAAGTCGGCCGGCGAAAAGGGCAGGTGTTTGTGACCACAGCTAGCCAAGCAGGTGATGACCTCGGGCGTCGGACCGTCTCCGTGATGGGACTATGTCCTGCCTCCGCCGCCGAGCTGCTGACTATGTCCTGCCTCCGCCGGCGAGCTGCTGACTATGTCCTGCCTCCGCCGGAGAGCTGCAGATTCTGGCGTCTTTTTTTTCGTCTATGGTTACAGCGCATAAGATTGAAAAGCCACGCCGTCTCTGCTCCCATTAATAATTACAGCGTGTGTGTCGAGTCCTAAAACTAGCCAACAGGTGAAGCCTCTGCCCGACCAGTCCTGTTTGTCTCAAGCCCGCCTGTCCACACCGACGGCGCACTCCCACCAACAGATGCTCCTCAGCCTCGGCATGTTCAGCCGGTGCCACTCAATCCGCGCCGCCTTCTGGCGAGCTGCGGCGGCTTACAGCGCTGCCAGACCACCTGATCCCGGCACCGGTGACGAGCGGGCGCGCCGAGGGTCCCTGCTCCACAGGGCGCCCGGCACGCCCGCCCGTCTCCTCTAGCGAGGGCTGGCCCCGCGCCAGACCGGCGGCCGCCGCGGCCGGACGACGAGATGAGCCGCCCCCGACGGCCTCAACTCCGATCACTCATCAGCAGCAGCTGGAGTGACTCAGAGGCGGCAGAGGTCTGCGGTCAGGTCCCGGGGTGGGCGGTGGTGACGGGTCTGAGCTCTGATCATTCATGCGGAGCTGGAGTGACTCAGAGACGGCAGAGGTCTGCGGTCAGGTCCCGGGATGGGCGGTGGTGACGGATCTGAGCTCTAATCGTTCATGCGGAGCTGGAGTGACTCAGAGGCGGCAGAGGTCTGCGGTCAGGTCCCGGGGTGGGCGGTGGTGACGGGCCTGAGCTCTGATTATTCATCATCGAGTGTGGCGGAGGCAATGCAGACCTTCCGACTGCCTACACTTCCTCAGACAAGTCAGTGACGCAGGTAGGAGGAGGACACAGGGGGCACGTGCCCCCCCCCCTTGAGTGTCCGAGGGGCCCTCAGGGCCTCTCAGGGTCTACCATTCAGGGCCCGATTGTGTGACCTGAGGGGCCCGAAACGGCGACCGAAGGTCGTATTTAGGGACCCTTCCCACAAGATCGGACTCTCCGATGCCAGCCAGCGGACCCCCTTCCGTTGATTGGGGGGGAGGGGGACCTGGAGTCAATGAGGGCCTAATGTCAGCCAGACACCACCAGTACCGTGCGGCCGGCTCCGTGCCGGTATGAGCCTTAAGCCTATTTCCCACAAAGCCAGGGCCAGTGATTTATATTGGTCGGGCCGCCAGCGTCTTTCATGGACTCCCTGTTGACAAGGGGACCCGAGTTGGCCGGAGGCAGTGTTCGAAGAGGCCCGAAGTGAACCTGAAGGGCTCACTGGCACGAACTATTAAGGGCCTGAATGAAGGGCCTGGGTGAACAAAACGTTGTTCGGAGTCTTCTTCAGGGGCCCCGGCCTGCGGGGATGGACCCTCAAATGACAGAGACCTTTGCGCCGATTTGAATCCACTTAGTCGATGAGGGCTTATATGTCGATCAAGTACCACCAATATCACACAATCGGCTCTGTGTCGGTATGTGCCAGAGGGCCCACTTCCCAAGCAGCGACAAAGCTGGGACCAGCGATTTGTACTGGCTGGAGCCCCTGTATCTGTTAGAAGTCCGCAGTGTCCAACATGGGGCTCTGTGTTGGCAAGTGACACCGAGTCGACCAAGGGCAGTGTTCGATGAGACCGGAAGAGGGCCTGGGGTTTGGCACCGAAACCGACGATCAAGAGCCCGGCTGGAGGCCATAAGGGCCCGAAGGGCCCTTATGACTGTCGATCACAGACAAGGTCCCGGGCCGTGGGGCTGTAACCTGGAATATCAGCCAGGTGGCCTTCTGCACCGACTGAGGACCCCCTGAGGCACTGCGGGCGTCTATGTCGGCCAGAGACCACCAACGCCGAATAGCTGGTTCCGTGCCGGTCTGAACCCTGCGGGCGCTTTCTCAAACGGTGGCAAGGCCGGGGCACACGATTTGCAATGGTCTGGGTGTTTGAGACAATCTTGGGGCCGCTGCGTCTGTCAGGGGCCCACAGTGCCTAACAAGGGTCATGTGTCAGTAAGTGGCCTCGAGTCCGTCGCAGGCTTTGTTGAAAGAGTCAGAGGATGTTCCGAAGAGCCCCGGAGGGTCAAAAATGAAGTGCCCAATGCGAGACGGAAGGGGCCGAAGGGTCTCAAGAACTGGTCTTACGTCACAGTAATGACGACTCCCTCCCCCCCCCCCCGCTTTAGTGCCATGATCTCAAATGTCGGCAAGAGGGGGTCTCGCACCGATTCGAGACCCACGGCACAGTGGGTTCCTCTATTTCGGCAGGAGATTACCAACACCGAGCAGTCGCCTCCGTGTTGCTTTGAGCTCTGGGGCCCATTGCCCAAACAGAGACGAGGCAAGGTCCGCGATTCGCATTGGTCGGCCGTTGAACAATTCAGAGGCCATCTCTTGGCCAGAGGCCCGCAGCACCTAACAGAAAACCCTATGTTAACAATGGGCCTCCAGTCGACCAAGGAAACTTTTTCTGAACAGGAACGGGGGCGCACCCCGTGTGCCAGAGGGCCTCTTAGGTTGGTCGAGGACAGGGGTATCACATTAGATACTTTTGTGGGGCCTGATCCCCCACCCAATGCTCACTTGAGTCCCCCCCCCCCAAATGTTCTGCTGAGTCCCCTAAATGCTTAGGAACAGAGGGAATATTGGGCCAAATAAATACTGAACAGTCATTTTAACTATGGGTATGCTAGGTAGCAGACACCATAACGCATCACTATTAGTACAATATGAATTTTGTGTCAAATATAATTTTGTAGGTACTTTCTGTTCTTGTCATGCTAGCGTCATCTTTATTTAAGGGATGCTAGCTTCTCATGCCAGCTCGTCATGCTAGCTCCATCCATAGTTAGCCAGTCTGCAAACGTGTGACAACTTTTTTTGAACGATGAGGCCTGGATCGGGACAATCAACAGTTGACTGCAGTGTGTGGCAGATTTGAAAAGTACAGATTGATCCTGGTAAAAGTCAACGCATGCCCGAATAGTGGTGAGCGCATTTGTCGCATAATCGTGGACGTGGTGGTAAAACGACACAATTAGCAACGACAGTAGTGACAAACGACAACGACAGCAGTGATTCCTTACTTATATTTACGCTGATGTTTTTCTGTGAGCTACACCCATTCTAAGGTTTTTCTTTGACCGAAAAATAATGCGCTCCCTAGTTTTCTGTTCAAGGGGACCCCTTGCCCGGAAAATGCATGGGGTGTGACAAGTGTTTAAAAAGAGTCCGTTGGCCATTGAAAATAACACCAAGCGGTGGTTGCGATGCGCGCGCGAACGACCACCGTGCAATAATACTTCGAAAGTCTTAAAAAAAGATAGAGCCGTATCGTTCAAAGATTAGAGGGAGGCGCATCTTTTTACAGTTTTTGAGTCTGTCCTCTGGACGGATAAACAGTTACAGCAATACGAAACATAGACATCTCTACTATTCCAGTTCCATCACCATAGTCCGTGCGCTCGTTGGCCACCTCTTAGTAACCGCTCTTGGCCTGACGCCGAGCGGCCGATGGTGACTGCAACGCCAGGTGTCAGGATTTAAGTTTGCGGGCGTGCGTGTTTAAAGGAACGACACTTTTCTGCCTCGCTGATCGGTTCTGACTGAATGTTGAACATTTCCAGGCAAACGTTGGTTGGCCATGATTACACAAACCTTGGACCCATTTCGGTTCAAAATCTACGCTCGCGGAATCCTCAATATCTTTGCACGTCCCAGGTTAAAATGTTGGCAGAGCTTCTGAATTCTATCGGGATAGAAAGAGTCCAATGAGCCTTTGTAAAATGAAGAACACCTGCGATTTATTCCATGCACTCAGCTAACGCCCATGCTTAAATTATTTACCTGATAATTAGAACAGAATTGATCTCGTGGTAGTTTCTGGCTTCCCCTCCAGTCAAAGAAGGTAAATAATAGTAAAAAACCATGTCCCTCATTAAGAAGTGAGCCCCCACCCTATTAACATTAGGTGTGCCTTCTCAATTCTGTGCCCTCCCCTTGCCAGGGCTCGGACTGTGTCCCTGGCACAAGTGATTAGAACACTTGCAACAATATTGCAGTTTGCTGGAGAACTGGACGGAAGTTCGACGTTCCCAAACCAGCAGAACCACGCTGTACCACATCGGCCATGCGTGGGTTACTCCAGTTACACTTTGCGTTCCAAGTGGCATGCATCTACCAAGACGACTCCAAGCAACTTCCCTCACACACCTGCTTGCCAGGCCAGTCAGCTGTTTAGCCTTCAGCGGCATCATGCCTTTGATCGGATACTAATCGCCTACCAGCCAGAAACTTGGTTAAACTGTACAAAATACGATTTTATTGAAGACTGCAAGCTGCGTGACTTGCTCAGCCCAAAGCAACATTTTATTTTAACACCAGAGCATCACAGATGGGCCCCAGCTGGCTACTCTCCAGACGCCGCCTGCGCTGTGCTCCTCCGGTTTCGTGATCTCAAGAGGTCGGCCTCGGGCGCCGGTACCGGCCAATTCTCGCAGCGGGGCCAAGCGGGTTCTGCTCCGGCGTAATGGACCGGGCCTCGCATGTGTATCGCACACCAGGAATGGCTCTCCCGAAAAGAGTTAGAGCCAGGGCTAACAGAAAGGGGGAGAGAGAGAGAGAGAGAGAGAGAGAGAGAGAGAGAGGAGAGAGAGAGAGAGAGAGAGAGAGAGAGAGAGAGAGAGAGAGAGAGAGAGAGAGAGAGAGAGAGAGAGAGAGAGAGAGAGAGAGAGAGAGAGAGAGAGAGAGAGAGAGAGAGAGAGAGAGAGAGACGAGGGGGGATTTGACGGAGCCAGACTACAAAGCTTGTATTTGTCCCCGGTGATAGACGAATGAACCCCAGATGCGCGCTTGTCTCCGCGTGCTGACGGATAGCTTCAATCCTTTTCCTGCTGTCTGGCGGAGCTGTCGCCACTAAGGACGACAGTCAATAATAATGGTTTACTTTTGCATTAGCTAGCTTGTGTAATCGGCTATGACTCCACCTACGTTTGCCACTCTCACTTTTATGCGTGCCCAATCTTCTGGCAAAACAAAGTCCCATAACATCTCTGGCCTTGCACTTGTTTTAAACAGCAAGTGCAATCCGCACGTTTCCCGTCATATGCGGATAGATGTCATCTATAGGCAGCTAGAGAACCATCGAGTAGCCACAGGCAAGAACGCTGTCAACGTGAAGCTGTCGAATCGATGGAGTGAGAATGTGCCAAACGTCCATCGCCATCTGGTCATAACAGCGAACCTCCTCAATGCCGGTGTGTCAGCGGCTCGTGACGGCTGGTGACGCACGGAGACATGACAGGTCGTCGCCAATTATAAGCCTAAGTGGCGTTGGAAGCAGAACAAACTGTAACTACTGTGCTGATGGCGATTTGTGACAAATGCTGAGTGACGTGTGCCCAAAACGGTGCGGATGATGATTGATCTACAACAGAAACTGGGTTTCCTTCGCGTCACAAACGCTTTCATGCATTCACCAGGTGCCTACCTACGAATATCATGAATGCATACCTACCATTACATGCCTACCAATATCATGAATATATCCCCTGTTCTGGGGGCCATGGATTCATTTGTCCGCAGAGCCATGCATCGTCTGCGTTATTCTCTTTCCTGTTGCGCGTCGGAAGGCCGGTGTGTTTCAAACGTAGCCTGTATGTGCATGTTTCAGTCACCCTCGTTCCTCCGCTACCTGTCGGACAGTAGAGCAGAAACTTGACGCACGTCACGCATAGACGCATAGACGCAAAGACGCATTCCTGACGTATAAGATCGAAAAACGACTCCACATCACCACATGGTACTCTGCCTGCACCCTGAGCAAGAAAGCAGTTCCACGTCACCTCCTGTTCGGATTTTGCCAGGTTGGGGAAACCCAAGCAGTGACTGATCATCTCTTGTTGGGCTGTTCGCAGGCGGAGGAGAGGCCAAGGAGCGGGTGCACTGTGACCTGTGCGGCAGCTGGGCCTCGGCCGTGCGCTGCGACATGTGCAGCGGCCAGGTGTTCTGCCTCTCCTGCGACGACATGTACCACCGACACCCCAAGAGGACCGCCCACGTCAGGAAGGCAAGTCCTCGGCAGACAGGCAGCTTTGGTCACTGGCGTTTATACGGTCAAGTGGTCTCGAAAGCTAGCCACAGAAGTATTTGCTGGTAATAAATAGCCCATATTTGCTCTGTAAGCGATTAACCGTTACCCAGTCGCTTTGCGTTGCTAAAGCCTGAGGTGTGGCAGATGGAGACAAAACTGTTTGAGCTGATTTTCGTCTGGTAAGCTGAATTACCAACTAAATTGATTATCATTGATGGTGCGTAACCCACTTCTATGTCAATTCAAGTAGCCAAGATGTGCCGCAAATAGAGGCTAGCGAACACCACCGATTCGTGTTTAAGAGTTTGAAAGATCTGAAAATGGGCTTTTCATTACCAGCAGCTTTGCTCTTGACAAATGTGGTAAATCCATGGATTGTCCAGGATTGGATCGGACAATTTTCAAGCGCCACCGGCGAGGGTTCGAATGAACTAAAAATAGCCATCAGGTATTAACCGAAGTGGAGTGAAGAGGTCAAACCGATTTTCGAAGAACAGGTGTACCCTTTGAGCCACACTTTATGTGAAACAGCGTGCTAAAATGTGTTGGCTCTGTGCTAAGCGTGCAAAACGATATATTTGATCTGACATGCTGAACGTGATCAAATTTATGTTTTGAGTTGTGGGATAGATGCGTTGATGGGTTGTCTGCATTCAAAATTGTCAGACTAGTTTGGTCCGGATGCTGAAAACGACATCTCCGAATAGCGACACCAGTATGCCCTGCGGCGTGCGCCGAAGTTCCCCTCGGTCTCCAGTCGCCGCGGTCTGAGTGCTGGTTGCTGTGCCCTCAGGCCGTGGACGGCGCGCCTCGGCCGTTTCGACCCCCTCTGCCACCCAAGTCTGACCTGCAGTCGCCGCCCGTGCCGCCGCCCAGGAGGAACAAGCGATTCGGGCTCTTCGGCAAAAAAGAGCAGGTGCGAGCAGCTATTTTTAAGCGACTGTTGCTGTGTTTAGCGCGAGGCAGAGGTGAGACATTTGTGATCCAGAACGTATTCCTACATGTGGAGCAATGTGCTCATGAAACAACGGGTCGACAAAAATAAGAATGGCTATTTGAACGCTGTAACGTCAATGTCTAAAAGCTTGGTATGAATTAACCAGTGATGAATATTAACATTTGCTCTCCCTATTAACGGCAATTAATTTACTTAAGAAATAGACTCTACCTTCACGGCACTGTATGAGTTCCACATGACTAGCTTCCGTTCGGTCCGTAGTCGAGTGACCCAAGTGTCTCTGACCCTGTCTCCGAACAGTCGCCAGCCCTTCCCCGGAAAGAGTCGGCTTCCGGTGTCATGGGAAGCCTGAAACGATTCATGGGCGTTCGACCGCTGCCTCCTCCGCCTGCACAAAAAGGTACGTCTTTTGAGTCAGTGCAGATACACTCTATCATCCACACGAAAACGCACGGTCTGTATGCCAATTGGGTTACGCTGCCACCTACCGCAACAAAAACTTGCCGAAGTACTTTTTGCGAACCTCACCGCCGCCGCTAACACAAAAAGTGGCTCACCTGGTATGTTAGCCAAGATATCCGCATTCCTATACCTGTGCGAATACATGGGGACCACCCCCACGTCTACCACAGTAATGACTTATCTGACACTCCACCGTCCACAAATCAGCCAATTCTACTTGTCTTTGTGCTGCCTGCAACGCGGTGAACCGCCGCCTCTTTCACTGCCGCCACCATTTTATTCTGGCTGGCAGCCTGCCAAGCCGCTGCAGATCGTCTGAAATCACTTGTCTGCCGCCGCGGCAGCCACAAATGTCGCGCTAATTGATAACAGTTGAGCCACACATCTGGTGCAGGTCGCTTCCAACGGAATGAATGCGTCGACGGATGTCTTGATTACTGGCCCCACTTTGATCAATGTTAAGTTATTAAATAATGACTAGGGGATGAAAGGTGACGTACGAATGCATCCAGCTGAAGTTGTGGTTTAAGACAGATGCATCTGGTGTCTTCGGCTGTTCGTGGTTTTGTCATTTAAACGGCGCAGGTTAAGAAGACGCGAGATGAGGTCCCCCATTGCTGTACATAATTTAGCTGTTTTAGTACACACGATGAAAACTCGTTTGGAATTATTCTTTATCTTTATGCTGTGAAGTGTGGTTTACGACAATGTCATCAAACAAATGCACCAAATTTTATTTGAACACGATGCTAAGACTTTTATAAGCGGACTGCAGAAATTAGTTCAGTTTGAGTTTGGTAATAATATGACAATGAACATCACTCGGTTATGTTTCACAAGTGCCTTTCGGAAGTCCGACTGTAGCTTCAATTTGGCGTTAGTGGTTTGCTATCCTCATGCCATGTTAAAGCATCGCCCAATTCCCGCAAACCAGTATCGAGTCCACCCCCACCCATCGAACGTTTGGCTGATTTCGACTCTGACGCCGAGCAGCACAGCAGCACTGATTGGACTCAGATCCCGATTCAAAGATAAATGTCTCTACTGCGGAATTGGTTTCGATGAAATCTAGTATGTTGATCACAGTTTAGGAGATGACGAGTAATATGAGTTTCATGAAAGCCTACATAATACATTTTATACAAGAGAGACAAATTTTGAGGTGTTTTTGGCCGTACATGCTGTCATGTTCATATATATATATATATATATATATATATATATATATATATATATATATGGACTCAACTTCAACTCCGATTAGCCACACCAATTCTAAGGAATCGCTTCCGCCTTTTAGCTCCATGCATATTTTGACTGATCCCGAGGTGCATTCACATCTCACGTGAATCCAAGTACATTTGTAATAACCCACACGTGTTTTACTGATTATGTTAATAGCTCCCCTTCTTCTACTCTAATCTACCGCTTCCTGCCTGGAAAGCAGCCGAGTGTACCGTAATCGCTTCTAGCGGAACCCCTTCAAATTTTTGTTAGATGACGTCACATCACTGGGATGGGCTTGCTTTCCGCACAATCCGCTTTCTTTATCTTTTCCATAAGAAATAACTTTTCCGTGCAGCTAGCCCTCGCTCCCAGCCGTTTGTGTTGCCCTTGTCTGCCTTCCCCTTGAGGCTAAATTCGTCCCTTCATCCCTATCGCAGGAGGCAAATTCTTCAGCACTCATATTCCTCCTCCTCCTTCTCCCCCCCCCCCCCCCCAGACGGTTTCCTCGCACCATGGCCGGCCACGCCATGGTGCAGCCACAGGTCAGCTCCGACCGCTCTCGAGTCTCCGACCTCACGACCTCCCCCCACCCCGTCCGCTCACCAACAGCTGGCCTGCCACCTTCGAATAGAAGGTCCTCCCTCACAACCTGCGAAACAGCAACAGGACAGCACGTCGCAGATGTTTCCACAGCTTGCTTGTTTGCTTGATAAACAGCACGTTTATCAGTGTCATGCGGCTTCTCACTTTATCAGGAACGAGCCTGCGGCATCGCGACCTACACGCCAACCCGCCTCGCCGCCGCCAGGTGGCCTGTCGTCGGTGTGGGAGGAGCCGTCGGTGCAGACGCTCTCGCTGGGCGGCGGTCGTCAGCAGACGCAGCGCAGCCTCAGTCGCTCGTCGGCCGACTCGGGCCGGCCTCCATCCGACGACGCCAGCGCCGCCCTGCCGGCCACCGTCGCAGACATCAACTCGCAGGAGCGCCACCAGTGGCAGACACCGCCTGTCTGCGCCGACGTAAGCCAAGCGGGGCGGCGCGCGGATAGTCATTAGTCCGACCTCAGTGGGCTGGTGATGGAGGTGTAGCGGCGAAGACAGCACGTCTCCAGTTATCTCAAGACTAAAGATGACGTCTGTCACGCTATATCAAAGGAACGGACCCGCATAACTCTTCGCCTTTTAATTAGCCAGTAGTTCTGTCTTCACGGACTAGGATGATATATAACGTACTTCGCGTGTATTTCGTTTGAGTCCAGATAAGAAAAATCCTCGTATGAACAGTGAACCACCGATTTTTGCGGGGGAGTAGTAGAAAAACGATGTTAGTTCTTTCCAGAACACTCCATAGCATAGGCACCTATAACTGCCTAGTAGGACGTCATATTAATCACAGTGCCCGAGCCGACCGCGAGCCTGCGTACCGCCAGGAGCGCTCCGGAGACGTCATTCGTCCTCGCAGCCAGTCCATGTCGGGCCAGATGTCGCCGCAGCCGTGGATGTACCCGCAGGAGCAGCACCCTCAGCACGACATGCTGCCGGTAACCCGTCAACCGAGGCGCGGCTTGTGTGCGATTTGCGGCCATGCTTTATGTGCCAGGTATTGTTCTTTGATTAGAGGATTTCGTCTATGATAGATTCCCTTGATCTGTGAGCAAGAATTACTGCAGACAGCAAGCAGTAGGTCTAAATTGCTCTTTTACTGTATTCCCTCTGGTCACTGTGAGTTTAGTTATTATTCCACAATGAGCCAGCGAATCAATCATCTACAATTTGGTTGGCTTCCGTGATATAACACGATATGTAAGTAAACCAACCAGAGTTCTTCCATCTTAATGGTGTCTACATCTCAGAGCAGTGCCCCCACTAAGTGCAGTTTTGAGGGGGGGGGGGGCACTTCCTCATTAAATTTCAGATTTCAGGTGTCACATAACTAGTCCTATGGTCTTGCAGATGACATTAGAAAATAGCTTAATTCCAGTCTTTGTAGTTTCTCAGTGATCGTTTGGATAATGACGCCCCTGTTCCGAATCACCACCGCAGCTGCGCACCAGCGCCGCTGCCGCCACCGGCAGCGCTGCCGGCTGACGGGTGTCGGTGTCCCTCCGGCAGGGGTTCGTGACGACGCGGCGCGGCCAGAGCTGCCGCGGCTGGCCGCAGATGATGGCCGCCGGCTCCGTCTGCGACATGGGCTCACCGACGGTGGCGCACCACCACCCGCCGCCCGGCTTCGTGCCACACATGATGCATGTGAGCGTCCTCATCGCTCGAGTGTGGAGTGAAGGGAGGAGTGCATGGAATGGGGGGGAGGAGTGTACGGGGGAGCAGGAAGGAGTGTGGAGTGCAGGAAGGAGTAAGGGAGTTGAGTAATGAGTATGGAGTGGAGGGATGAGTGTGGAAAGTAGAACGAGTACGAGGAGTGGATAGAAGAGTGCGGAGCGCAGGGATGAGTGGAGAAAGGAGCGTTAAGTAGAGGTAGAAGTATGGGAAATGGATAGAGGAGTGTGGAGTGGAGGGAGGAGAGTAGAGTAGATGGAGGAGTGTGGAGTGAAGGCAGGAGTGCTGAGCGTGGGCATGTCATGGCGCCCATGGAGTGGGAGAGGCGTAATGGACCCTCTATCTTCATAGATGTAGATACACAAAGGTACTGCAAGAATCGAGCTCTTGAGCAGAATCACCGCCGGAATCCACTCTTTACCTTTAACACGTTAAGTGCGGGTAATGGCGGTTGAAATATGACGATCAAATTTGTTTCCCATCGCCCCACTTCGCAAATGTTCTGTCGACTATCGAAGTGAAAGATGAACATATATGTTACGAAAAAGTAAGATCGACATGAAACCGTACACGGCGAACCAGGCACAGAAACGAAACAAAAATAGTCGCGGTCCATGCTTTTCTGTCATCATTATTCGTCAAAATCTGGAAACAGAGATACTGGAAACAATGCTAACGTGTGGTAAATTATGCTTGATTGTATTAAGCTCTTCGACAAATTATCAATCGATGGGAGAGAGAGATTTCAAGTTCAGCGTTAAATTTGCGCTGGCAACGCATGTCAGTTAAGCATCTAAACGTGTTGTAATAAGTGGTCTACGGGAGATTCACGCGTCCGAGCGATATCGGTAGAGTATAGCGTACCTCTGGTCTTGGCAGGCGCAGTCGATGGCACAGCTGGGGTGTCCGACCTGCCACGGCCCGGCCGGTGTCTGGTACCCGGCTGAGCCGCCCGAACCCGCTATGGTTCGCTACCCCAGCAACGCCAGCCTGACCGGCTACCCCGCCGGCGGCGCGTTCGTCTCGTCCCGCGACCTGCGCCAGCCGTCGCCGGCGCCGAGCGCGCGCTCCGGGCGCGCCGCGCGCTCGCGCCGCATGGCGCGCTCCCAGATGGAGCTGAGCCGGTACGCCTCCGAGTCGGAGGACTACGTGTCCGGCGTCGAGACGGACGACGAGAGCGAGCCGACCGAGGATGCGCGCGCGCCCACGCCGACGGCCGCCTGGCACTGCCAGCACTGCACCTTCCAGAACTCGGCCGGCACCCGCGTCTGCTCCATGTGCTGCCGCACGCAGCCAGCGCCGCCGCCGGCGCAGCAGCAGCAACAGCAGCAGCAGCAACAGCAGCAGCGGCAGCAGAAGAAGCGGCGCCGACGTCGCTTTCTGCGCGGCAACATGCCGCCGGGAAGTCCGGCGCCGGCGGCGATGGCGCGCGGGCGCGAGCCCTCGCCCGGCGGCGTATCCAGGGGTCGTGACCCCTCGCCCGGAAGCGCGTCCCGCGGAAGAGAGCCGTCCCCCGCCGGCCTGGTGGACAGTATGCAAGCGATGAAGTTGGGGGGCGCCGGGGAAAGAAGAGGCTCAGGTAATGTGATCGTGTGGCATCCCGCTCCCTACGTCTGGAGCTACGGTCGGCCCCCGATGCCGTATTGCTAGCGTTAGACGTAGCGCGTAGAACGTAGTTGCGCGAGACAGTAACCTTAGAAGAGGCGGCAATTTCCGCTCGCGAACTCCCGGCTCCTGACCGGATAGTGCTCTCACCGCCTCCGCCGCCGCACCTCCGCCGCTGTGGAACACGAAGAGGAGCCTGCGGATGGACGTGCGACCCGCGTCTGCCGCTGTGTGGTGTGCTGTGGCGTGCTGTGCTGTGCTGTGGTGTGCGTGACGTTGCGGAGTGCTGACGGACGTGCCGGTCCGTTACAGACGCGATGACCGCGAGACGCGAGCCAGTGAGTGAGGCGGCGGCGGAAATTGCGCCCGTGCCGGCGGCGGCGGCGGCGGCGCCTGCGCCTGCGCCGGCAACAGAGAGCGTCAACACGAGCCCCGCGAAGAAGAGCGAGGAAAGGGGCGACCGCAATAAACGGACTCAGTCTACGGGCACCTCGCCACCGCCTCAGACCATCGCCACACAGGTGAGAAATTTCAGACAGAGAGCGAGGGAGGGAGCGAAAGAGAGGGAGAGTAAGAGTGAGAGTGAGAGTGAGAATGAGAGTGAGAGTGAGAGTGAGAGTGAGAGTGAGAGTGAGAGTGAGAGTGAGAGTGAGAATGAGAGTGAGAGTGAGAGTGAGAGTGAGAGTGAGAATGAGAGTGAGAGTGAGAGTGAGTGAGAGTGAGAGTGAGAGTGAGAGTGAGAGTGAGAGTGAGAGTGAGAGTGAGGGAGGGAGGGAGAGCGAGAGAGAAAGGGAGGGAGAGAGAGAGGGAGGGAGAGAGAGAAAGGGCGAGAGGGAGAAAGGGCGTGGGAATATAGATTCTGCGATGGACCCTGTAGTACATCTATCTCACCCTCTCTCCCTCTCTTTCTTTTTCTCTCTTCCTCTCTCTCTCCCTCCCTCTCTCTCCAATCGCGTTGCAATCAACTGTACTTGAAAACACGCTTTATTTTAACCAGACCTTAGCGTATTCGGCACAATTGCAGAGGCTATCTGCAGTCCCCTGCTCAGCTATATATTTTGTCCGTCGTTTGCCATCACATGTCTACGGTCAGTGCAACCATATTAGGACATTCACCCTCGCTGCAGTCCACCGCTGCCTTCTGGTGACGCCGTCCGGGCGTGTTTGGCAGACCAATGATGACCTGGGCGCGAGCGAGCTGTACAGCTCGCGCGCCTCGTTGCCCCGAGCCGGCTCGCGCACCTCGCTCACCGGCGAGTACGAGCCATTCCGCTACGCAAGCCGTCAGCTGCCTAACCTGAAGCGGACGCAGTCATTTCAGGTACGCTGAACAGGACTGGAAGCAGCGCATGTGTTTCGTCAGTGCAGCTACTGTCTGCGCGATGTGTTTGGCAGAAGCAAACTTGTGTATGGTGGCAGAAGCGTACACAAGTTCATGTTAATGATTGTGCTTGCGCAAGCTTTGGGATGCACTTTCATCTACGGCTTCATTGCTTCGACCGCTTATCGCTGACTTCTTCGCTCTGATTGGCGTTGTTTTCTGCAGTCTTTCATCACGTAGGAAGTATTTTACGTCTTTTCGGCCGTCGTTTTTCATAATAAAGCCGATATTCCCTCTACAGCTAAGTCATTGACAATACCTCTCACAACTTGCGTTTACTCTGATGTTGTAAACCTCAGTGTTTGCACCTGCTATCTCTGCGGAAATAACCAATTGGCAGCATCTCAAGCGTTTCCGCTGCACTTGTCCAGCTCTGTGTTTGCTATGTCGGGCTTCTGCTGGCACGTTCTCTCCGCCACCTCTGTGCCGAACCACCTCGCCACCTCTCTGCCGCGTCGTTTGCAGGCGTTTGGCCACCGTGAGCGGGAGGAGCGCAGCGACCCCTGGTCCTCATTTGGCACTCTGGGCTCTCGCTTTCAGCCCCGCTCCTCCTCCAAATCGTCGGTCCACTCCACCGTCAGTGACTCCAGGGTAGGTTCGGGCGCCGGAGTTGCCGTCATATGCGAACGACTACAAATAATATATATATATATATATATATATATATATATATATATATATATGTGTGTATATATATATACTTACAATACGCAGTGGGCGTTTCAATTATGAGATTTCTTATCTGGCATGTTGGGCGACCGGTTCTGAGAGGCACGTTGCGCGCTGTGAAGCGTCTTGCAGCGCGCTCAAGCGACACTGCTTGCCGCTCATCCCCAGGCGTTTGGAGCGTACACGTCGGGCGGCTCCAGCCGCGGAGAGAGCCCGGCTAGGTTCGCCGGCACCGCTGACAGGTCCAGGAAGCTCTCGTACGGCGGGGATGTGGGTCGCAAGGTAGGCCGCGGCTCACGCTCCAGCGGGAGAGGGCGCTCTTCACCCGGGCCGCGTTCCTCATTGGCGAAGTATCTACCGGAGTTGCTACCGATGGCGTCGCAAGTACCTACGTCCTACACGAGCGACCATCCTCCAAGCCGTAGGAGTTGCTGTGACGCACTTACCTCTGACGTCGTGGGTTGTTACTCATGGACAGCTGTTGGTAATGGGGAATGCGGCCCCGAGGTCCGAATGACGTCCGGGGAGGCACATCTGGGCAAAGCATGTGGGCGAGAAAACTCCTTTTGCAGAGTTTGAACTGTACTCTTCAAAAAAACAACATTTTAGCAGCGTTTTCTGTGGGAGTGGAATGGAGTGGCATAGCATTGATTGTCGTGGGGCGCGTGGACTCATTTCACCGTTTGGTCTGTGCTTATCAGTACATTTTTAAGAATGCTTTCTGTGGGTTGTTTGACTTGCTCGTCGCCCAGTTGGCATGGGCGGAAGTTATTGTCTGAGCTTGATTGTGTTTTGCAGCCTGCAGACGGCTCGGATTACCTGGTGGGCCTGGAGGAGCTGATGATGCAGCGCAGGCCGCCAGGTGACCCCGCCGGCAGCCAGGGCATGGAGCTTGTCCTCATGCTGAGGGTAGGCAGCGGTCACTCGGCCACAGAACCAGCCGCAATCGCGTGCATGGTCCGGGAACAGCTTCTCGTGATAGCGTGCAACTGTGTGTGTTCTCTTTGAGCAGATATCCGGTTCTATGGTTCTCATGATGTCGTCATTCTGCATGTGGGTGCCGGCCAGCGAGATATAACCCATTGGTTCAGCTTCAACATTTATTCAAAAGGAAACGTTTTAGTTCAGATGTGGTTCTGAACTAAGGTAATCATACTGTAGATGAAGGGAGTGTTCCACATTCGTATGGAGCTTTGACTTGAAATACCCATCTTGAAGATCATTCGGTGTGTTTCAGAACAGACAGCCTTTCCTAAGACTTAAACCCTCGTAGTTTCTGAACTACAGACCCGCAAATACGTGCAGGTAATTTCGGGGAGACTATTTCAAGGTCACTCGAGCATTCATGATGCCATAACAACGTCATCTACCTTCTGCCACTCCATTAGCCATGCGGCGATCAAGGCCAAGAAAAATATAAATGTCATTTCGTTCATATCTGGCATTCGTGGGCATGAGTTCCAGATATGACGGACGTCAATTGGGTCTCAATCAATGTTTTGCAAGGTGCGATGACGTAATAAAAATTGCCGTCCTGAGGAACATATTCACTAAAGAGAGAAGTGATCTTGTCTAAAGCAGCTTTTTCAGCTTAAAAGTGTACCAGTAGTTATAAGTGAGCTTATGGTATCAAAGCTGATCCCTGCTTCATTATCTTTAGATGTGGAACATTCTCTTCAGCTAAGTATTCAAAGTCATAGCCTTATTAAGCCATGACCTTTATAATCTCGTAGTTCAAATGTGTTTAGCCCATTGTTTTCTATAAAACGAAGATACTTAGAGGGAACCAGAAGTGTGAAATAGCTCCGGATGCCCAACACCAGCGGCCGACGTCGAACAGACTGGCATCCAACCGGCGCCGCCAGCCGGCGACTGGTTAGATGTGTCGTTACAGTGGGCTTGGTGCAACGATGCAAAATTGTTTCCGTTGCAAAAAAAAACGCGTCGGCTTCAGCTCTTTTTGAGCAAGCAAATAGCGTGATCCAGTCCGCATAAGCCGCACTATCTACTTTTTCCATTTTTCATGGGCCTTATGAGGAATAACTCTGCTTTAAACAAATAAATACTATACCATACTCAAGCTGCTTGTGCACAACCCAAACGCATATATGTGTCTGTGAGGATTTGCAAGACCTTTGTGGTGAGCTTGTGAAGCAGATTATGAGTTGTGTCAACCAGGCAGCCAGCCGTCACTGCGTGAACTAGCGCGTGATAAGATATCGAACCGTTTATCCTCACCGTGCCAAAGTGTTTAACGCTGTTATGCCAGCTCATTTACCGCATTGCGAACAACGCTGAAGCAGACCAGAGCCTTGACGCAGCCTCGCCTTCGGCTTTGGCCGCATCCCAACGGCAGCCGTGCGTTGCGGCAGGACGCTGAGAAGCACAGCTTTTCCCCGGAGGACCTCCAGATAGCGCTGAACCATTGCGGAGCGCAGCCACCCGTGGCCTGGCTCCTGGACAATCTGGACAGCATGATCGAGACCGTCTGCACATTGGCCACCAACTACGGTCATGAGAGGCGCGAGAATGACGTCGGTGAGTGTGGGGCGGATCTGTGATCACTTGATCGAATGATCGTTGGTGGGTGTGAACAGGCGGCTCAGGGGTAGCATCGCAGATGTGCGCGTACTTGCCTCTTGGTGGGGTGCAGTTTGTAGTCGGACGTTAGCATCATGCAATGGTGGAAACAAAATCAAATGAATTCATTGGGTGGACTGCCAAGCGTTATGGACCTTAAGTCGCGTATATGGATCGGTCAATCCTCACCGAACAAGACCGTGAATGGTCTAGCTCAAGCCCTCCGACACTCCCCGGAATGCCAGGCTTGATTGATCACCGTATCACCAAGCACCCCATACGCGGGATCAGCCACTTCTAACTGAGTCGACCCCATCAGGCACCATCTCGAACAAGGAGGCCCGAGACGCGCTCCGTCTGCACAAGGGCAACGTCTGGACCGCAGTGACCGAGTGTGTTGAGCAGCGCAGAAAGAAGGTCAGTGCATCGACGTAGGTTCACTTACGTTAAGTAAAAATGGAAGACGAAGCATCGGCTGTGAGGTGATATTGACGTTATCTGCCTTGCAGGACCCCCTGAGCTTATAGGGATGGGCGGTTGCCCCACGGCGACTTTGTTACGAACCGCTGCATGTGCTAGGATTTCATAAGCAGCGTGCCTCCCGTTCTGTACTACATGTTCTGTACTGGAAGGACGAACCATCGATGTTGCGAGATTGCGCCGCATGCCGGTGCTCGAGCTGGCGGCACCCTCTCCTCTGCCGCCGACGGCAGCAGCGGCGGCGGGCTAACGCGCCGGCGGGCGGCGGCGGCGCAGTACTCGCAGCTGGCCGGCCGGGGCAGCTTCCCCCGTGAGGACATCGTCACGGCGCTGACGGCCAACCACGGCAGCGTGGAGGCGGCCTACCTCGACCTCAACCGCACCCAGCTCAAGCCGTTCCTCATGCGTATCTGGGGACCGCCCCAGGGCGTCGAGGTCACCGAGGGCGCGCCGCCGGGATCGGCCGAGGTCAAGGCCGGCGGCCAGGCGGCGGCGAGTTCCGTCCCCACGGTCCTGGCGCCGGCCAAGGCCGATAGTAAGTAAGAAGAATATTTACTCATCTCCGCTGCTTATTGACTGACCGACGCGGCCAGACGGAAGCGATGTGTGAGCTGCTTGATGCCATGTTTTGCTCCGGTGTCAAAGGTTTCCGTAACCTGATAAATGCATGCAGCACTGAATGCTTTGCTTATGATTTATTAATGATTTTGCTGCTCCACGCATTTGCTTATCACGGAATGACTGTGTTGTGCTGGTTGAGAAGAATGATAATTGTTTGTTTTGGTTGATACCATTTATTTCATTTTTACACAAATGCCATTTACATGTGTGAAGGGGAACTTTACACGATGGAAAAGCTCTCTCTGACCGAGCCAAAACATAATGAAACATGAATAAAGATTATCGAAACTAAAAGGTCTGGCACTAAGCTTCAAGTTGCGAGAATTACTTTACATTGTTTGTGGTACATCCAGCATTCGCAAAAATGTTCAGCTCAAGCAATTTAGTAGCGAAGTCAGAACTCAGGACGTGACCACAACTTATGGTCGGCTCCGCAAGAGGTTCGGTTGCACCACACGTCAATGACTAGATAGCAAAGTCTGGTCCCCGAAGGTCGTTCACGCAAGCCCTCTACCAAAGCCGCCTTCCTCTCGGGCCTCTCACGACTCTCACGCTAAATCGCCAATAGCTCGGGACCTGGTCGCCGCCGGGAGCGAGGGTCGGCGCCGGCCGGGCCAGCCCTGCCCGTGGCCGCGTGACCGTCCTGACCGCAGGCCCGAGGCGTGCCCCGGCCGATGACAGCGCTGTCAGTTGCAGATAGTCCGGTCCGGAGTGACGAGTGCTCCGCCCTTTCCTCGGAGCTTGACTCTGACGACGGTTAGTGAGCGGCCGGGCGCCGCCTGTGAGCCAGTCAACTAACGCTTCGTCGGGCGGCCGCTGCAGCTCCGGGCAGCTTCTGCCCGCTGCAGCTCTAGGTAGCTTCTGCCCGCTGCAGTTCAGGGCAGCTTCTGCCCGGGCAGCGGCGTCGACGAGCCGGGCCTTGCTGTGCTTCCCAGCTGGACAGAGCGCGGTGTTCTGTTCCACAGCAGCACGCAGACGTGTTACGGTCTGGCGGCGGCAGGAGGAGCCATGTTGTCTTCGAGGATCCAGTTAACCTGATGGGGTCTGGGAGGGGCTGTGTCTCTGTTTTAGGCGTGCTTCTTGTAGGGATTATGTGTACAGATGGATATACTTTTGCATGCATCACATAGGCCATACCATAAGCGTGTAGTGCTGCGTTGCTAACGTTTTCAGTTCACTAAGGCTTGCATGATGTTTTTGATGTTTTGTGCTCCTTGTAATTCTGCTCCCAGCTTCCGATTTCAGCCGTATCGTCGATCGTTCCCTAGCCTGGGGATGTAAGATGTGTAAGGAGACATAACGATGGCCTAGTTGAAGCTGACTTGCGATCCATCGTGATTCTTTCAGACAGAATTTGTGCTCCGCTACCGATTAAGCTCTTAATAGCCGGAAATAGTGATGATATGTTCTAGTATATTTATCACTGCCGTGCTTTTTTGGGCATCTGTTACAAGTAATAATACCCGGCATAGTAATAAGCGTCAAGAAGTACCACCACAGCTTCCTATTAATGTTCGTGATGCCGTTAAACGGCGTGATTTAGATGAGACACATACATAGCTAAAATTATTAACCCCGTCGTGCTTTATTCCAGATGAAAACTCCAAATCAAAGGATTACGCAACCCCGCCTCAGTCACCTCTGCCGAAGCGTCACCCCTCTGCTGCGTGTCCCAGCCCCGTCCCTCTACAGCCTCGTTCGTTCCCCAGCTCATCCCAGCTTGTCAGCCTCGCTGACAGCACCAGCTATTCCCCATTCTCTCAACACGGCGCCCTCAACAGCAGCACTGTCTACTCATCCCACCACATCATCACCCACTGCGGCGATGTCGCCATCGCCTGGAACGCCATCTGGAGCACCATCAGGAACACCATCTGGAACGTCATCTGGAACGCCATCTGGAACGCAATCAGGAACGCCATCTGGAACGCCATCTGGAGCGTCATCTGGAGCGCCATCTGGACTGTCATCTGGAACGCCATCAGGAACGCCATCTGGAACACTTGAGGGCGATGCTGAGCCCAACGTGACTTCAGTACACCTGGTGTCCGATGGAGTCTACCAGACGCCAGTTGCTGACCAGGCGGCGGCGAGGGATAGCACTAGTGCAGTGGTCGCCATCGACGCGGGCGTGCCCGTTGTCGGTGGCCAACAGGCGCAGACAGCAGCGGCCGCAAGGGTCAGACCACCTTCTCAGGCGCAGCTGCAGAAAGGTTCTCATGACAAGCTAGCTGTAGCGAGTCCAGCGTGTCCTGATTCGAACGCGCATCGCGGGACAGGAGAAGCACCCGTTTACAGCAACCTGACGGTGGATCGGAAGGGGGCAGCACTAGCTGGTAACGATGCACGCCCAACCATGGAGCTGCCCGAGACTTCCGACACAGTCCGGCTGCCTGAAAAAGCATCAGCAAGTTCGTCTTCTTCTACAGCACCTGTTCAAGCTGTCTCGTCCTCCTCCACAGCTCCAGCACCTCCTTCGTCGTCATCGACTCAGCCTATCCTAGCAAGCGCAACACCTATTGCGTCATCGGACTCGGCCACAGGACGGCCATCCACATCAGCATCCCAGGCCAGCGTTGCTGCAGATCCACGGCCGTCTGCCGTCTCGGAAACGTCACAGGCGTCAACGAGTCAGGCTCCGGCCGTTCCCCCGAAGGCTAGAGAAGTGACAGCTAGTCAACCATTCCCGATATATAGTAATGCCACGGATGTGGCATCCACGGGCCCCAGTGGTACTGGGACTTCCTACCAAGCATCTTCACCTCTCCAGACCGTGGTGACCGAATCGTCTCAGAGCCGGCAGCACGCGAACTCGCACTCACTTCAGCCATCGCCGATGCCGACAACTGCCACAAAAGCAGCCAATGTGTCGGCGCGGGAGTCGAATCATTCCGTGAACTCTGACCCTGTAATGCCTACTTGCCAAAACACCACCCCCGACCGGTGCGAAGCGGCGAGGGAACGCCCGCGGCCAGTTGGTGTGACAGCCCATCTCGGCCTGAGCTCTGCCGCAGAGCGACTGCGCGAAACAGTGCCTGAAGCCACACTTGAGCGTGCCTCTGAGAGTGGGGCTCGGCCCAGTCCAGAGCCAGTGCCGGCGCCAGATGCGGCCTATTCCACTCCAGCCGCTGCATCGACCGCTGGCACGTACTCCGCCCCGATGGGACAGCCTGTCGCGGCAGGGAGTGATGGCACGGCCGCTCAGCCTGCTCACAAGCCTGCCGATGCACCGTCGGCGTCAGCCGCATCGGCTTCTGCTGACCCAATCCCTGCCGTTGAGCCAAGCGCAGAGGTCGCTGCGGAAGTCGGAAGGTCGGACTCAGAGACTGACCCGTCGTCCACCGGAGAGGCGTCTGAAGCGGACGGCGGCGAGCCGGCGGCGGACACCACCTCCACTGAGCCGACGTCCGCCGCCCCTGGACGCGACCCGCTCACCTCCAGCCAGCGCCTGGCGCTAGCCAAGCGCGTCATCAGCAAGCACGTGCAGCGTCAGCAGCTGGCGGGCGAGGTCGCAGCGAGCGGGCAGCCGACAGCCAGGGCCGCCGACACCTCCGACACAGCCGAAATCCCCGACATCGACGCCGGGGCGGACTACGCCGACGTGTACGGTATCGTCGGCCGCCCGCACACGCTGCGCCGTCTCACCGACGACACGCCAGCGCAGCAAGTGACCGGTGACGTCACAGGCCCGGCCCGGCGGCGATTCTCGGCGGGCAGCTCGGCGTCGGACGGCGCCGCCGGCGGTCACGTGGTCTTCACCTCGTCCGACTCGCTCTCGGAGGGTTACGAGGCGGTGGTGAGCGTGCGCTTCCAGCCGGGCGGCGGCGCGGCAGCGCGGCGCTCTCCGCGCCCCCTACAGATGGCGCCCTCGTCATCTACCGAGTCGCTGACGCGCTCCTACGAACCGGTAACGGTGGTGTACGCGCCGGCCCGCCAGACGGCGCGGCCGGAGGCCTCGACGGAGACCGTCAGCTCGGACGAGACGGGGAGACAAGAGAGGACGAGCGGGGCGTCGACGGGCGAGCCGAGTCCGCCGGAGACGTCCGACGCCGACGTCTCCGCGACGGGGCGGAGCAGCCGGCCGGACCGAGATCCTGCTTCAGGAGAACCCGGCACCGTCCACTGACGACGACAGCGACTGCGGCCAGACGAGTCGGTCCGTTGGAGAGGGACAGTGTGTCGCCGGCGGCGGGCAGGGCGACCTCTGGCGGGCCGGCCGCCGGCCACAGCTCCGGAGTGTCGGACGAGGCGGCCTCCAGCGACTCAGACCCGGAGCTGGCTGCTAGGCCCAGCGACGTGGCCGTCGCAGCGCTGAAGGAGGACCTGAAATGTGGCAGCGCAGCGGTGTTGAAAAAAAGCACGTCCGAGCGGCAGAAATTGCAGGTGAGCCGGCATGGTTTCACACGGTCATCAACAAACTTATAGCCTTTCACGAAATCCGTTTTCTTCTTACCAAATTTTATTGGCATGATGGCTTTGGCGGAAGCGCGCAATTAAGCAGGCAGGGTGGTGTGCACATGGGCAATCGTGACCACCTGTCGTCAGTAGGGCAATGCGAACCTTTGTGTTTGTCAGCTGGTTGTTGATGTGGATGTCAGCTGTCGATGTCGATGTCAGCTGGTTGTCGGTAGCTTGCGATGTGGTGTCATTGTGCCGACTTCATCCGGCATCTTCCCTGCAGACGTTTATATTTCGCTCGTGCAAAACCATAAGATGACTATCCTTTTTCATTTTGACAATGTGCTTGCATTTTCACTTCCTGCGAATGAAATGCGTGGTCGCGTCATCCCATGTGATCGTAAATTCGAACTATTGAACTATTATGCTCCTGAACCCCGCACGTCGCTCTGACTCAGTACCTCTCGCGGCCGCCAGAGGCGCGCCTAGTCGCCTGCTGCGCTCCGGTCGCGCCCGCTCTCAGGCGGAGGCCGAGATGGCCACGCAGCTGATGGCGCTGCGGTTCGCGCCTGACGACAGCCTGCAGGCGGCCGCCTCCTGCTCCAGCCTGTACACGGCCATCAGCTACCTGCACCAAGAGTGCGAGCTCTGCGCCGGACGCTTCACTGTGAAGGAGGTGCGTCCCGCATACCGGCTGCCCAGGCGGTGGTGCAAGGGAAGCAGCGCTGTGGAGCTCTGCTCGGAGAGAGAGAGAGAGAGAGAGAGAGAGGGAGAGAGAGAGAGAGAGAGAGAGAGAGAGAGAGAGAGAGAGAGAGAGAGAGAGAGAGAGAGAGAGAGAGAGAGAGAGAGAGAGAGAGAGAGAGAGAGAGAGAGAGAGAGAGAGAGAGAGAGAGAGAGAGAGAGAGAGAGAGAGAGAGAGAGAGAGAGAGAGAGAGAGAGAGAGAGAGAGAGTGAGAGAGAGAGAGATCTTTTGGGGGCTTCAGGCTGGGGGATAACGGTGCAAAAGAACAGGCGATACGGAGAGAGTGATGTGAAAGAAAGCCGAAAGGGCATCAAATGCCTGTCGAACGTGGCTTGGTGTAATCCACAGTGAGAGACGGGGAACCAAGATCGATTTTGACCTCGTGTTATGTCATCACCAGGAGCCTTGATGCATTTGATTGGACTGCTCTCACGGCTATTTAGGAGTTTTCCTCCCTATCCCTTTAGCAGCCGTATAGAAATGAACATCGTCTACATCGGCTGCCCGTCGGCGGAGCCACACGCTACTGCTTCAGCATCTCCTGCTGGCTCTGCTTCGCAGATGGTCAGCATGACACACTGCACCCACCGCTGCTGCCACGGCTGCGCCCAGGCCTACTTCACCCAGCGCATCAAGGAGCGCCCCCTGGCCGACCTGCGCTGTCCGTTCTGCAACGAGCCCGACCTGACGGTGAGCACCGCCTGCTCCGGCCTCCGCCAGAACTTAATGAGGGCGATTAGAACGGCGCTGGGGGTCAGAGTTTTGGGGGCTAGGTTGACCTTCCCAATAAGCGTCATTGGAAGTTTGGGAGGGCTAATTACTCAAATTGTTTTTAAGTTGCGTGTGAATCCATTTAAGTTGTTCTTGATTTTTTCAGAGTGAAGAGATCGCATCGGACTATTTCTCGCATTTGGACATCATGCTGAAAACGCTGGTAACACCGGAGATCCATGGCCTCTTCCATAAGAAGCTTTTCGACAGAGCCATGATGAAGGATCCCAACTTTAAATGGTGTCCAAAGGTAAAGCTCCTGTTTTTTTTAACGCTCACCAACGCTGTGCCGTAGACCGGCCGATAGCATAAATAAGTTGTATCCATTGTCACCCCGCACTGTTTGTAGCTTTTGCAATTACTGGTGGGATTATAACGCGATTATATTATACTGTTGCGTTAGTCAACAAAAGCGGTCAGTCAGTCTTTACTTTTCAAGGTTTTCGCGGTACGACACCCCAACTATGTTACGAAGCAACGATATCTGGCAATGACAGTAACTTGACACTGTAAGAGCCGCGCCTCGGAGCTTATAAACACTACTGGATGGTCGTAAGGACTAGTTTTCATGAACACTTCTTACTCCGGCCGCCCTTAGTGTTCGTCCGGTTTCATCGCTGCTCCGCGGCAGAAGACGCTGCACTGCCCTGACTGCGGTACCGTCAGCTGCGCTCTCTGCACGAAAACGGTACGACGCCTGCGGCATCAGACGATATTTTTGGTGAAGCATTCAGGTGGCGAAGACGTGCCCCGATACTCTGTGTGGAAGCGTCGCTTTAATCCGTATCATCCATGCTGTAAAATGCATATTGGACGAGATATACATAAGCATGCCATGTACTTAAAAAGGGACTTGTGCGAGGGCAGGAGCTCGCGTGTGAGGACAGACTCTCCCGGCTGCGCAGTGGGTACTCCCGCTATACTCAGACCATTTCGACCGAACGCTCAGATTTCTCGCATGCCAACGGTCTCTGTAGGTAAGTAGGCACACGGCCGTGAAATGGCAAGCTGATCCACACACAGCTCGCTCCGGCGGTCGGCCGCCTCAGGGCGGCACAGCAGCTGGCGTGGGTCGCCGCTGACAGCCGCCTTCCCCGCCCGACAGTGGTGCGACCAGCACGAGGGCGTCACATGCGAGCAGTTCGCGCTCTGGCAGCAGCAAAACGACCCCGAGTACCAGAGCGTGGGCCTGGAGCGCCACCTGGCGGAGAGCGGCATCAGCTGTCCGGCCTGCCGCTTCCGCTACTCGCTGGCCAAGGGCGGCTGCATGCACTTCACCTGCAGGTGAGGCGCGCCGACGGCGCCACCATCCGCCGCCGACGAGTGGCGTGTCCTCTGCTCCTGTCGTCGACGGCGCCACCATCCGCCGCCGACGAGTGGCGTGATCTCTGCTCCTCTCGTCGACGGCGCCACCATCCGCCGCCGACGAGTGGCGTGATCTCTGCTCCACTCGTCGACGGCGCCACCATCCGCCGCCGACGAGTGGTGTGATCTCTGCTCCACTCGTCGACGGCGCCACCATTCGCCGCTGACGAGTGGCGTGATCTCTGCTCCACTCGTCGACGGCGCCACCATTCGCCGCCGACGAGTGGCGTGTTCTCTGCTCCACTCGTCGACGGCGCCACCATTCGCCGCCGACGAGTGGCATGTTCTCTGCGCCACTCGCGGCGGCGCAGAGGACACGTATGGAACTTGATGGCAGGGATTGGAGTTGTGTTACGTCTGTACGCACAATTCTTTTCTTTTGGTCATTTGAAAATAATACTGGCAGTGCACTCTGATGCGGCAACATGTGCTTAAGACATATTTGCATCATCGCCTGATTTACCTCTTCAATTCTGTATTTTGCGGGTCTTTCTAATTGTGTTCAGCCGCGAGCGCGGGTACACTAGCTCTGGTGTATGTCCGATAAAAGGCTGTCCCGTGGGAATGATCTGCCGAGGGTATGAGTAGATAGCCTGAGCACTGAGGGACAGTCTGAGGACTGATGACTGAGGACTGAAGACTGAGTCTAAAGGCCTGCAACCCGACGTCTTGCCCACCACCGTGGACCAGGACCCTCACCGCTCTCGCTGTGCAGCCAGTGCAAGTACGAGTTCTGCTCCGGCTGCGGCCGGCCGTTCAGCATGGGCAGTCGGTGTGGCCAGACCGACTACTGCGCCCGGCTCGGACTGCACGCGCACCACCCTCGCAACTGCCTCTTCTACCTGCGCGACAAGGAGCCGCAGCAGCTGCAGCAGCTGCTCAAGGTGCGCGATAGCCGCGGGGTGTGTGTGTGAGAGAGACGAGGGGGGGGGAGGGAGGGGAAGATATAGACTTTTCCATAGCCGACGTGTGTATTACAGAGGGCTTTGTGTCATAACACGTTTTAGTACGTTTCATGCTCGTAACCTGTGTTATGAAACACTCAGCATGGACTACCCTGCTGCCTGTCTGCATAAACTGTGCGACGAAGCACTGATTTTGTCTCTGTCGCACTGACAGGCCTGCTATATCACGATCAGACGCGAACGCGGCAGTCCAGCGTTCATGGCTTTTAAGTTCAACCTCTCGGAGTTAGGATCCCAGTGATGTTTTTGCAGCCTGACGACCTTTCCTAGAAGAAAACAAAGGGTTCAAAAATACGGTGTTCTAAGTATTTTTGCACCTTAAACGGATGATCTCGGATCCCGTAGGGTCCAATATTTATCAGATCCAGTGAGGTGGGGGGGGGGGGGGGGAGGGAGATAGAGCGAGAGCAAGCGAGGGCGAGAACAAAAACGAGAACAAGAGCGAGAGAGAGAGACGCGAGCGAGAGAGAGCGAGCGAGAGAGAGCGAGCGAGAGAGAGCAAGAGACAGAGAGAGAGAGAGAGAGAGAGAGAGAGAGAGAGAGAAGAGAGAGAGAGAGAGAGAGAGAGAGAGAGAGAGAGAGAGAGAGAGAGAGAGAGAGAGAGAGAGAGAGAGAGAAAGAGAGAAGAGAGAGAGAGAGAGAGAGAGAGAGAGAGAGAGAGAGAGGAGAGAGAGAGAGAGAGAGAGAGAGAGAGAGAGAGAGAGAGAGAGAGAGAGAGAGAGGAGAGAGAGAGAGAGAGAGAGAGAGAGAGAGAGAGAGAGAGAGAGAGAGGAGACTTCCGCCTGCCACGGACAACGACGCCACATGTTTCAGAGTAACGCAATCGAGTACGACACGGAGCCGCCGGGTGGTACGGAGGTGTACGGCGAGGTAGGGCGCCGCTGTCGGGTGCAGGAGCAGAAGGAGACGGCCGACGGGCTGCGAGACGACCTCTGTGGCCGCACGGTGACCCCGGGTCACGCCGGACTCTGCCGGTACGCTGTGGGCGCCCGTGCGCCGGGAGTCTGTGCATTATGGGTAACGGTATATTGTAGGTGCCGACGTTCTACGGTTATCGGTGCTCTGTGGGGGACACCTGGAATCTGTGTTTACCCGGCGGCGGTCGGTTATGAAGTAGGTTGCCAGATTGTAGAATTTGCTACACCGATTGCCTTGAGTTCACTCCTTAACTGTGTCCCGAACGTAACGGACGGTAAAATTCCGTTTGTTAAGTCCTGCGAAAAGAAGGATCTAGCAATGCAAAGTCTTGAAAGAACCGTGTGGGCACATGTTTGTTCCCAAGTTGTGTGCACAGAGCCCATTGAGAAACGGGTTTTCAGCAATTAACCCGTTCCCATTGCCCTTCCATCTGTCGACAGAATGCATTACGTCGAGTACCTGGCCGGCCTGGTGTGGCAGCACCATCTGGACCCGGTGGCGATCAGTGACGCGGCGGACCTCCGCCAGGAGATGCGACGTCACGGCAAGCGCGTGCGCATACAGCGTGTGCGAGAGTCGGACGAGCGATACACGGCCGCCCTGCGCAAGGTGCGAGATGAGAGCCTGTGGACGCGCGCATGCGTCATCACCGGCGCTCAAGCTGTGCGCAGCAGCACTGGCTCTCCACGCTTGATATGGGATGCCCAGCACGCGGCGGCCAAGGTCAAGGGGGACCTCTGGGTGAGGCGTTGCCCGTATGACGTCATTGGCTGGCCCCTGAGAGTCCTGTCCGGGCTGGACTCCGGGATGTAATTCACGCCGAAGGATGGGCAAACAGCACGGCAGGCGTGCCGGAAACGGGGGTGACGATTGCGAGAGGTGGACGCATCAACGTCTGCTGCTAAACAGTAGCCATTTCGTCCACGTGGAAATTTATTGATGGAAAAGCTTTGTACGGCTCTAATTCTCTGATTTGTCTATTAGAGAAATTATTTTATAGACCGGAGTATCGTGGTGTATTCACTTATCTTTCACGGGAGCCCGCCTATTAATGCTCGTGAGCTCTGAGCATTGGTGACATTTCCGATGTCTGCTGTCTGCGAGCATGTATTCGACTTGCAAATGTCCCTTAGCGTTCCTCAGCTGGTATGAGTTCCAGTGTGCTGCGCCGCACTGTTCCAGTGCCCCTGTTTCAGCTGGTGGAAACGGAGCTCCCGCTGGACGTGTGACCGACCGGACCAGCGAGGCATCGAGTCGAGGCGGCGGCTGCTCTCTGGAGCTCCCGCTGGACATGTGACCGACCGGACCAACGAGGCATCGAGTCGAGGCAGCGGCTGCTCTCTGGCGCGAGGCTCTAAGGCGCAGCGCTCCGCATAGCCATGGGCAGACTCGCGGCAATCAAGATCACGACTGGTCCATATTTGCGACAAACGGCAGTGCCACGTGTGTCGTTAGGGCTGAGCCCCCAGTTTGCGCTCCTCGCGCCCGGCCGGCTGTCTTTCTAGTCATGTGGTAGGTCTCAGAAGTGTCTAAACAAGTACGTGAACTGTACTGGCAACCACAAGACGGGCGAAAAACAGATGTTAGCATTCGCCTCACACCTGTGTGGAGTCAACGTGAAATCAGTGTACGGTGAACACGAGAATGCGCTCAGCCACGTGCTACATCATGAGATGTCAAGTGTATCACGAATGCGCAAATGCGGGAAGGCATTGCGGTGCTATGGCAACACATGCATTACGGCACATCGTAATACCTGTCCCCGAATCCAGGTAAGCCTACTCGAACACGTGTGTTCACCCAAACTCTAGGAATATTCCGTCATTCAAGCCGGAGGCCATCCACACGTCAGCATTTAGACTCGCATGGCTACATCTGTGGGCATTTGATTGTCCCACCATATGACGTGCGTTGCGTCTTAAGCGCACACGTTGTGTAACTTCCAGCTTTCTGTAAGAAATTGCCTGCAGGCAAGAACATATGTCGCTGGAATACGTATTGTAGATGGTGTGTGGCTGTGTTTGTACCTTGGTTCCCTTTTCCAGTGCAACACAGATAGTAATGCCTGCTGCGTATGGAATGATGATAAGTAGATCAGATGTTATATTAACCTTCGTCAGACGTATCGCAGCGGACTTTACCTTCGCAAACGAATCTCCCCGGACCCCATCATGCTACGAATGAAGCATTCATAAAAACGGCGAACATAGCTGGCAAACCTGTGATTTAAGCGTGCCAGTGTAACGTGGCCCATATGAACTAGCCGCACAACAGCGATCACAAAGATCAACGAAATCAAGTTAGTAGAATCAAGTCATGCAAATGCAGGGACAACAACTGCACGCATGTGTACGAAAGTGACAATGGTTGGATGTCACTGTCATAGAACAGCGACGAAATGCAATTGTATGCCATCAACTCAACCTTGAAGCATGTTTTCCACGTATGCGGCATGGTCTGAGCACAATCACAAGGTTACGACCATGCTACGTCTGCCTCTGGTTGTACGTGCGTTGCATTCGCGCAAGAGGACAACGCCAATATGTACTCCCTTTTTGGCAAATTCTTTGGTCATCGGATTAAGAACAGTTCTTTTGGCAGACAAACACATGTGCTTACCGATGTATACTGTTTGCATAGATTGATGGCATTGATAGTTCATGCCAACCCTGTAGTGACGTCTCCGCTGGCTTGGATGACGTTTGTGAGATTGAATATGGTTTTGTATAACAATGAATACTTCAAATATAGATTCTGCAAGACTATGAATATGTGTGTATGTGCTTCTTGTTATACCCGGTTTTGCAATATGGATGTTACAGAACCTGAAAGCCTAAGGTCACCAGAGTTCATTGGTGTGGTCTTAATATTCCTGATTTGATTTGATTTGATGTCTAATTCCGATTATGGACATAAAGCAGTACATAACATGATCAGTGGATTGGCGCATAAGCGGAACGCTTAAATCTGAGCGCCTCTCCTAACAATAACAAGATATGGTCATCGCCGCCAGGGAACCCACAACACACCGCCCACTCGTCCAATCTGTAAGCCGACACGGGCCAGGCGCTCGCCGCCGCTCCGGTCTACACATATAGCCGTCTCGGCCCGGCGACGGACGTCCGGCCCGCCAACGCCACCCAGTGGCCTGTCTGCCGTCCAATCAGTCTGATATCAATCTTACCTCTGAAACTTAATAACTCTGCAGTTTTTACGAATCTTGCATTTTGATAACAGTGTACAACCGTCGAAACTGAGGATTGCTTGTTCGCCACCGGAAGGCCGTGGCAGGTTCGAGGCATTATTAATAATGATCGTTATGTATTTCTATGTGAAATGTACATGATATTTTATATATTCATCGAAATTTCCATGGAGTTTGCTGGGCAAACATAGCTTTATGAAATCCACGACAAATGATCATCAACACCGGCTCGGGTGAGAGTGGTCATTTTAAACCCACCCCAGAAAGTTACTAAAAAATCCCGACGGCGCTGCGTGGCCTCGCAAAAGGGTGCACAGTTTTAAGCAATGTAATAGCGGACCTTTTGTTATGAAAGGTGTACTTTGTAAGGTCGATGAAATATGGCAGGTCAAATTCAGGCCTTAGCTGTCAGCGAAGGCAATTTCTAAGAAATGTCTTAAGTTGGTGCGACAACGGAGCGTTAGACGAAGCCATACAGCGATGAGATAGCTTCTCAGCAATAGAACAAGTTAATTCAGAATAAGAGAAAATAGCATTGGCATAGGTTCAGGTGTGGAGAGCAAACCTAAGTCTAAGCAAACCTGATTTTTTTTACTTGAGACCTTATATATTGAGTAGCTTCTGGTGCTGATTTCAAATTTATTGATAACAAAAACTCAACAAACATCTCTCAATGGGTACATTTAGGGTCGAGTAGGTGCTGACCTAAAAATGCCTTGGTGAGCATTTTATGTTTAAGCACATGCTGCCTAGCGTAACCTTTGACGCTTATTCAGGTGTAAAATAAAAAGCAATCTCGTAGGGCTTTGGTCACCATAAACATCTTAAGGTCAAAATGGATCACTGACCTGCAACTAAATACTAGCGCACTTTTGCCTCGAACATGTATTTAGATTTAAGGCGGTTTCTCGAGATGGTCTGGGAGCAGGTTTGGACATCAATCCGGAGTTTGACCCTCTTTGACTTTATCTGACGCGAATGTCATCAACTAGTAACCTCAAATTTCGACACAAGTGACTTTACATATGGGCCAATGCACCCTGTGAATTTAGTGTCTCCGATTCTCTCCGTTTTTGAGATTTCAGAGAGTCAAATTGCCCCTCCCCCTCCACCATCACCCGGACAGAGGATGTTCAACCACCCGCCCGTGCCTGTGTTACTGACGGCAAGTCCTCACCACCGCTGTCAGTTCTCATCTTAGTAGTGAATGATCCTCGCTGAAAGAAAAGACGCTGATTAACACCTATGATAGGCCGAAAAGGCTGACAAGAATTATACAAATCCTAACGTGCTTAGCACTGTTCATGGTCACCAGCATAGGTGAGGCTTTTGGGGCTCAAAAACTCTCACATTTGGGGAATGTAACATGGAGATTGCGAAGGTATGTAGAAATGAGCGAATCAAAGCGACTGTTGAAAGACAGAAACGGCTTGCAATTGTGAATTGACAAAGTTAACTGCTATAGAATTCAGGACCTACCAAGCACATGTATGACAAAATTGTCTTGGGTATTGAGGTGTACACTGTGTATGAAAGCAGGCGTCGTAAACGCCACTTGACTACCACAATCGCCCTTCTTTCCTCCTCTCTCTCTCTCTCTCTCTCTCTCTCTCTCTCTCTTCTGTCGTGCCCTGCGGGTGACGATTCCTTCCGGCGTTGTCGGAGCAGGATTCGGCCAGGGGTCATAAAACATCCGAGGCTTCCGGTGTTGTCGGAGCAGGAGTCGGCCAGAGGTCATAAAACATCCGAGGCTCATTGCCCTGCCCGTAAATTGCGGGGCCAAATCACCTTTGGGTTGCCCTATAGCAAGGCGCACGATTGGCAGTTAGTTCGCGCGTGTACCCGGATCAATGAGCGGTGTCGCCTTTGCGATGATGTCACGGAGGTGCCTTTTTATTTTTTCCCAGTTGAACGGTGAGCGCAGCACGGTGGCAGTCGGAAACGTCGAAACCTACTTCGAATGCCTTGGTGTTAGTGTCATAAAGCTGAAACAATGCAGGCAGCTACTGAAAATATATATAACAAAGTTGAAAGAAAGATGGGTAAAATCGAACAAGCACACGGCGAGGTTTCTGTCGGAAAACGAGGAGTGGCTGAAGGCAGAAGTCTTGCCGAAGGAGCTCTCAGTTTCATCCACCCGTGGTCGGCGCACGTTAAGTTTGCGTGGAAACGGCGCCAGTGATAAAAGGAAGGCAACAAAGTCACTTACCAGCCACACGGCAGATAAGCTTCTTCATGCAGCAAAACGACGAACTCGAAGTGAAGGACGAAACAACCTGGTTTTCGTAATTAAACAACCAGTCGAGACGCTGACAAGGCCAACAAAAGTCCGACGTCTGCTCCGAGACCAAAGTCAGTCTAGCCAGCCGAAGAAGTACAGTGGCAATGAGACCCTGGCTGTTTTCGTCGAGGAACGTTTCACCAAATCGACGTGTCAATTTACGCGACTCGCAGCAAGAGCAAGGCGCGGATATTTATCCAACGTACAGAGTTATTCCGTCGACGAAAGCAGGGTAATACCCACCTAATATCACCGTAGAACCCACCCGTGCAGAGATGCCGCTGCCATCGCTGCTCGGGCGTAACACCAGTCGTCTCATACTCCTGCAAGAGGTGCCACGGCAGGTAGCAGGCGAGCGGGAAAGCGTAGAGTTGCAAGTACGTTGCAGGTGGGGCTTCGATGGGTTCACAGGTCAAAGCTTCTATAAGCAGGAAGGTACCTCGGAACCTGTACAAGACGGCCAGGTAGCTGCTCACTTCACTAGTACCGTTTCAGTTGAATTACGGAGATAGCTTGGTGCGGCACAACTGCACAGCGTCGTCCACCAGGTTCTGTTGTCCCAAAAGCTGGAGTTCTACCGCGAGACCGCCGAACTTTGTAGGTCTGATCAGCCTACTGGACCCAGCAGATGAAAGATCTAACCCAGCAGGAGGTACATCTCGAGAGTCTCGCCATAAAGGTGAACATTTCCTCGCTACGAGACCACGATCGACGGCAAGGTGGCGAGTGCAGTTACCGAGACCGCCTCAATGCATCGATGTCCACTCTGCAAAGCAACACCAAAAGTGATAAACGATCTCCTAGCATGTCCGGCAATCTGCAGTCAACAAAAGCCATTTGCAATTGTGTTTCAACACTTTGCATCCCTGGATCCGAGTTTTTGGGTGCATACTCGATATCAGCTATTGCCTTGACCTACAGAAGTGGCAGGATCAGTTAAAAAGGCGAGAAAGGAGCAGATGCAAGAGAAGAATAAAACGGTGGTGGCAACGTTTTGGGAGAGGCTTCATCCTCATGTAGACCAGCCGAGAGTTGAAGGAAGCGGCACGTCAAGCGACGGTAACACAGCCCAGCGGGCCTTCGCAGAGGAGGCGACCTTCGCTGAGATCACCGGGGTCGACGAATGCCTGATTCGACACCTGCGTGGTGTACTGAAAGCCACTGACATCCGGATATCAAAATGACGCTGAGAAGTTCGGTGCCTACTGCCAAGAACCAGCCGAACTGTATGTGCATATGTATCCGTGGTATCCGATGCCTGTGTATGTGCACCGAGTACTTCTCCATGGAGCGGCTGTCACTGACACATTACCACTGCCACTCGGATTCTTCAGTGAAGAGGCACAAGAGTCTTGCAATAAGGATTTACGGGCGCGCCGTGTGGGACACGCTAGAAAATACTGTCACCTGCATAGCACCGCCGATCAGATCGGATACCTACTGGTCACCAGTGGCCCTGTGACCAGCTCGTCGGCGATCAGTGTGCGGAGACAGAGGGCTACCAAGGGTAACGGAGCGCTGTCGAAAGAGGCCCTCGCGCTTCTATAAGACCCTACCGGAGCCTCGTCATGTATATTTGAGGATAATACCAGCGACACCGACTCCGACGAAACAAATGAGAATCATCGTGCG